TGTGCATCCAGATAGACACGAAGAAAGAGGCTGGACAGGACTAGACCCGGAATCACCAGCAATCTTGTCGGAAAGTGATTCCGAAAATTTCGTGGATATTCCATTGGACGGAGTGAATTTGCCAAATGTGGAAAATACAGCGAATGTCAACGAAGAGACGAGTGTTGAAAGACGAGGATCAAAGTATGACAAACCGACTCAAGAAAACAAATCTGTTGAAAGCACTGACCCTTCTTCTTTATCTTTGTCTATTCGTGGGAGATCAATGTCGCTGCTGAACGTTGAGTACTCTGTGATATTGAAGAGCTCTATAAACGCGCGCATGCCCAGTGACAAGTCTCCAAGCTGGCTGACTGGTGCAACGTTTCTCGTCAACAACAGCATAGTACTAGCCGATAGAAAGAACAACAAGATCAAACTATTTTCCAGTGCACTGCACTGCGTTGCAGAAGCGGTGATTTCTTCTTACCCATTCGACATCGCTCAGACTGGAAACTTCAACTTGGCAGTGACTGTTCCAAGGAATAAGCGTGTGCTCTTCTTCAGTTCTGAGGATCTGAAAACGTGTCCTTTATTTATTGATACAGAGCAGACTTGCCTTGGTGTTTCCTGCTCCAAAGAGGTGATAGCTGTTATCTGCGAGGCAACTTGGACTAAATCCATCACCATCAAGCTGTATGATAATTCAGGCTCTTTGACACGTAGAGTTTCCAAGATCGACAACGACCGGGAACTTGCGTTTTCTTCTGATTATATTTCTGTTTGTTCCGTATCTGGAAACATGGCCTTCAGAAATGGTATAAATATATTTTACACAACATCCGAAGGAGATCTTTTATGGAAATCAATCATACCGAACCAGCTCTTAGCCAACAGTATAAGGGGTGTCGCAACCTTAAATGGCGGAGTTCTTATTGTTTTTGATGTATTTGTGTATTACGTCATTTCTGATGGCCGTCAGTGGAAGATAGTGACGTCATTTAGCAGGATCAGCAGCCCATGCGCAATTTGTGTAAGCAGAAACAAAAGCAGCGTGCTCATCACACATGCTGATCCAATTCGGAACCGGCCAGAAAACAACGTAGTGGATATCTTCGCGCTTTCGCAATCATTCGAATAAGCGACTGGCTATGAACACAAATTGATATATATCTACGTTTTAACTATGATGAACTGGAATGAAACTCGTTCATTGCTTGTCTTCATTCGTTGCATTTTGGATAGGTTTTCAACTTCTAACGTGCATAGTGATTGAAATGTCATTTTTTGTGAAATCTTTGACATGTAGAATTAAGACAAATAAGACAAAGAAATGTTTCCAGAGTTGGACATCAAAGATACTACGAACTCGTCTACATCAGCCGCTTTTCCTACATCTCTTCCTACAACGTAACCAACACGGCCAGCTTTCCACCAAGCTGTATGATAACCGTGATGATTTCAATTTCCCATACCTATGGTGTTTACTTGTCGCAGTTGATCCGATATTCATGGGCCAGTTCCCATTATCATGATTTTCGTGCAAGAAATTGTCAACTGACGAACGACCTCGTAACACAGGGTTTAAAAAGAAGGAGGATGAAATTATGAGAAAATTGTATATATTATATTTCGTTGCGCGCTATAGAGCTGGCCATGTTTGATTGTATATATTATATTTCGTTGCGCGCTATAGAGCTGGCCATGTTTGATGCTCGTTAGTTTATCTGTTGGTTCCGTTGTTGTATACCTTGTTCTCGTTCGAGCACGTGACAATATTACTTGTTTTGATTGACCAAGGTTTGCATGGCAAGTCTTTTTAATGAAGCAGAAGACGCTTACTATTCCTGAACGCCTGATCTTATTATCAGTGTTAATTTTTCTTTTGTTCATATTTTTGCCATAGTTTTATTGAATTAGAGTTCAGATTGTGATTATGTTGATATGCTTGTATTTTCTTCTCATTTTTGAATGCTTAGATAACTTGATTCTGGTATTTTTTCGTCTCATAACTCACATCCTGGTTAAGGATTATCTGTCATTTAGGATATTTTGAAACATATGGAACTGTACTGTTTAGGGTAGAATTTCGATGTTTTGAATATTAATTAATAGGATTTCACTTTTTCATTCGAAGGGCGTGGTGAGACTTGAAATATTCTGACAATTATGACATAAACATTAGATCAAGTAACCGGAAGGGTTTGAATGACGTACAACCACTGTGTTTCTACACAGTCGTGCTCCTTTTGTAAACATTCAACATCTTTCATTTATTCTCAAGTAACGCCAGCGGGATTGAGTAGAAACTTACCTTAAATGATACTGATAAAATCCTGACAAAGTATAACAAATCAATCAATAAATAATCAGAAATAAAAGACGACGCCATTTTTGAAAAAAAAAAAAATACAATTTAAACTTCTTAGAGTTCCGTTGACGCCATTGAGATGAAATCTGATGGGAATGTGGAGAAGCTGAGGTGTCTTATTCATTCATTTATTTATTGTTTGTTTTACATTACTGCTGAAATATTCCGAACTATTTTAATCCTTTAACAACAGTTTCTACTACTACTGTCGACGTTATATATCATACATCAGTTTTTATATCCAGATAACCGTTCAGCTCCGGGAATCTTTTATACAGGTACCTACAATATATCAATCAAATTCAGGGGTTATTTATCTACTTAAACTGACTTGACTTTCAACAACTAGATAAGAAATCAAATTAAAGTGCAGAAGAAAAATGGCATTCATTAGTCGTTTGTGTTGCACATAAAAAGAAATTGCCTAAATTTTGTATATGGTAAATTGTTTAATGTTCCATTGATAATGTATATAGTTCTGTTTTAAACCACTGCTTCAGGTACAGATATATATAACCGTTTGGATGTTCTGTTTTAAAACACTGCTTCAGGTACAGATATATATAACCGTTTGGATGTTCTGTTTTAAAACACTGCTTCAGGTACAGATATATGTAACCGTTTGGATGTTCTGTTTTAAAACACTGCTTCAGGTACAGATATATGTAACCGTTTGGATGTTCTGTTTTAAAACACTGCTTCAGGTACAGATATATATAACCGTTTGGATGTTCTGTTTTAAAACACTGCTTCAGGTACAGATATATATAACCGTTTGGATGTTCTGTTTTAAGACCTCAGGTACAGATATATATAACCGTTTGGATGTTCTGTTTTAAGACTTCAGGTACAGATATATATAACCGTTTGGATGTTCTGTTTTAAGACCTCAGGTACAGATATATATAACCGTTTGGATGTTCTGTTTTAAGCCCTCAGGTACAGATATATATAACCGTTTGGATGTTCTGTTTTAAGACCTCAGGTACAGATATATATAACCGTTTGGATGTTCTGTTTTAAGACCTCAGGTACAGATATATATAACCGTTTGGATGTTCTGTTTTAAGACCTCAGGTACAGATATATATAACCGTTTGGATGTTCTGTTTTAAGACCTCAGGTACAGATATATATAACCGTTTGGATGTTCTGTTTTAAGACCTCAGGTACAGATATATATAACCGTTTGGATGTTCTGTTTTAAGACCTCAGGTACAGATATATATAACCGTTTGGATGTTCTGTTTTAAGACCTCAGGTACAGATATATATAACCGTTTGGATGTTCTGTTTTAAGACCTCAGGTACAGATATATATAACCGTTTGGATGTTCTGTTTTAAGACCTCAGGTACAGATATATATAACCGTTTGGATGTTCTGTTTGAAGACCTCAGGTACAGATATATATAACCGTTTGGATGTTCTGTTTTAAGACCTCAGGTACAGATATATATAACCGTTTGGATGTTCTGTTTTAAGACCTCAGGTACAGATATATATAACCGTTTGGATGTTCTGTTTTAAGACCTCAGGTACAGATATATATAACCGTTTGGATGTTCTGTTTTAAGACCTCAGGTACAGATATATATAACCGTTTGGATGTTCTGTTTTAAGACCTCAGGTACATATATATATAACCGTTTGGATGCTCTGTTTTAAGACCTCAGGTACAGATATATATAACCGTTTGGATGTTCTGTTTTAAGACCTCAGGTACATATATATATAACCGTTTGGATGTTCTGTTTTAAGACCTCAGGTACAGATATATATAACCGTTTGGATGCTCTGTTTTAAGACCTCAGGCACAGATATATATAACCGTTTGGATGCTCTGTTTTAAGACCTCAGGCACAGATATATATAACCGTTTGGATGTTCTGTTTTAAGACCTCAGGCACAGATATATATAACCGTTTGGATGCTCTGTTTTAAGACCTCAGGCACAGATATATATAACCGTTTGGATGTTCTGTTTTAAGACCTCAGGCACAGATATATATAACCGTTTGGATGTTCTGTTTTAAGACCTCAGGTACAGATATATATAACCGTTTGGATGTTCTGTTTTAAGACCTCAGGTACATATATATATAACCGTTTGGATGCTCTGTTTTAAGACCTCAGGTACAGATATATATAACCGTTTGGATGTTCTGTTTTAAGACCTCAGGCACAGATATATATAACCGTTTGGATGCTCTGTTTTAAGACCTCAGGCACATATATATATAACCGTTTGGATGTTCTGTTTTAAGACCTCAGGCACAGATATATATAACCGTTTGGATGTTCTGTTTTAAGACCTCAGGTACAGATATATATAACCGTTTGGATGCTCTGTTTTAAGACCTCAGGCACAGATATATATAACCGTTTGGATGCTCTGTATATATAACCGTAAGACCTCAGGCACAGATATATATAACCGTTTGGATGCTCTGTTTTAAGACCTCAGGCACAGATATATATAACCGTTTGGATGCTCTGTTTTAAGACCTCAGGCACAGATATATATAACCGTTTGGATGCTCTGTTTTAAGACCTCAGGCACACTTACTTGATGCACAATTAAATCCCAGATATATAACAAATATACATAGTGTTTCTACCTTATATAAGTGATAACCAGCAAGTTGTGATTAAAACTAGTCAACTTTATTTCCTATTGATTTTTCACCAAACAGAATCTTTTGAATTCCCATTACCTCCAAGAAACATTCCATACATTCCAAACATTCCATACATTCAATACACATTCATTATGCTTCATACATGTGGACGTATAAACATTCGCACCTGTATAAACTTTCTCAACTGGTACAAAATTTTCAAGTGTAGATTCACATTAATCCAACTTGTCTAACCTATGTTGATACCTTTCTATCTCACAAAGAGGAATTTGATGTCATAATCCCTCTAGGAACTTCTCAGAGAATTTTATCCCATGAAGCAACTCTTGTAATCTTGGTTCACTGTTTTTTCAGATAACTAAGACTCAGACTCCATCACAAGAATCACATTCCCTGTACTCTTTTTCAATGGTTACAAGCCATCTCTCTCTCAGTGACTATCAACTCCCTTACTGTAGTTTTCACTACAGTCACGTCAACTTAAATCCACTGGTTCATCTACATCTCAGATTTAGAGTCCCTTGAACTATTTAGTTCCTGTCAGCAGTTATAATTCAAGCATTTAATATGTTGTAAGTCCCTGGACAAGGGAACTCATTTTCAAGGGCAGTCATATCTAGACCTCTATCTCCCAAGAGATGTCCCTTCAGTCTTCAACTAGTTGCCGTACTTCTATCTCTCAAGAGTTATTTCCCTTCTGTTTTTAACGTGTTGCCACACTTCTATCTTTCAAGAGTTATGTCCCTTCTGTTTTTAACTTGTTGCCACACTTCTATCTTTCAAGAGTTATGTCCCTTCTGTTTTTAACTTGTTGCCATTCTTCTATCTCTCAAGAGTTATGTCCCTTCTGTCTTCTATCCTTCAGAACTACTAGAACTATCATGTTTCTTACTTTTATGTTTCTTGTGTTTATGTTTGTGTTTCTGAAATAACAAAAAGAGGTAGAGCTAATACCATATCCTACATTTAATAAATTTCATCAATAATCCTTTTTATATTTCATTAATTAATTTTGTACATAATTTAATGAGAAACTATGTCATAATGAATGACTAAAGCCAAAAGTTTCTTAGCACAAGAAGAAGAGACACCCTACAACCTGTGAGCATTCAGTAATTTTCGTTTGATAAACTTCAATTTGAATGACTTGTCTGACAGTTATATTAATTCTACTGGGAATCCAAAAACTTGCTACAGCATTAATGACCACATTACCTTGACCTGTGGCCTAGACATGTTACCTTGACCTATGACCTTAACCTACCATCCTGTATCGCTCCTCCTCACTGTCCTCTGATGATGAAGACCGTCTTTTGTGTTTTCGTTTCTTGTGTTTTTTCTTCTCCTTCTTTGGCTTCTTCTCTTTCTATTGAACAAAGATAAAGTGAATACAATAATAACTTTCAGCGACCTTTGTACTTATAGTGACCTTTGTACTTATAGTGACCTTTGTACTTAGTGTGACCTTTGTACTTACAATGACTTTTGTACTTATAGTGACCTTTATATGTAGTCATAAACAATAAAAAATATTACATGTATAAGATTATGAGATAAACTATAACACACATGTACATAATGTATCCTGGGGGTTGTTTCTCATCTTTTTTCTCTACTGAACCACAGCTCTAAATAGGGCAGAAGCAAACGCCGACAGAAATAACAGCATTTTTACAAACTTTTATAAAACCTATTGTGCTAGCTAAATAACCTACTGCAATAATTTCAATAAAAACCTTTCAAAACCATTATAAATGAAGACACAACTAGGAATTTGTTGCATGGTTTTACAGTGGAATATAAACATGTGCTCAAAACATCATGCAAATTAAATAAATCAATTAATATCTTGATTCAGTTATAAAGCAGGAACATCATGATAGAGATTGATAATTATTGATCAATATTGATTGATTGTAAGTTCCGAAATCATTTTGAAAATGAGTCTGTTTATAAAAGCAGGCGAAAAAAATGTACTTAAAGTGAAATAATAGTAAATGTCAGTCACTGAACAGTTTTAAGTATACAATCTAATTTACCTTCTTTTTCTTCTGTGTTAGGCTCTCTTCTGATGAGTCATGAAATCTGTCATCATCGTCAAGGTCAGGAACTAACTCATAAGATTTACCTCCCTTTGTGTGGAAACAATCCTGTGCTAAATGTCCTATAGAATCAACCAGATGGATATATTACAAAGTATACCATTCTCACAACCCTGCACTGGACATTTTCATATAATCACAAAATACCATATTATAATAAGTACTATTTTAACAGAATATTTTGTTAAGTTTAAAAGTCTTGAGTAGAAAACAACATCACTATACTGACCATGACCCCCACACTTGCGACATGTCGTGTCCAGAACCGCCCCAAGTTCTATCTTTGGTCTCCCACCTTTCACACCTTGCTTTCTCTTCCGATCATCCAAGCTTTAATGTACAGAAGATGAAAAGTTAGCACCTACATAAGGTATACTGTACACATCTTATATTTAAGTAATTTATAATATGAACAAGATTAAAGTGACATCACCATATAAACCTTTTCTTGTTGTGTTTTTAAACACTTCAGGTTATGGTTTTACACTATGCTGATATTCAACAGCCATTTCAGAAGTCCAATTTAGCTACTTACTTCATGTGGGAAACCCGTCTCAAAGCAGATAACTTTACTTGACAGTTTTGAAAAAGAGGCAGTTCATTTGTTTATACAAATACCTGTGACGACAGAGAAAAATGTATTGTGACAATGTGTAAACACCTGATTTTTGGCACAGAAAACTGTTATGGACAAGTGAACATTACTTTAAGACTTAAACTTAATTAAGTATTAGATAAAAGCATAATACATGCACTGCCATTTTTCTTGTCTGAAAAGTTCCCATTTGCCATGAAATGAGAAATTTTGTGATTTCCTTCTGCTCATTAGGCCATCCTTTGCTTCGTGGTGGACACTGTTGCATTTTCTTTCAACCACAACAGATTCAAATGGGAAGCCAAGTTTGTTTCCTAATGTGATGTAGTGTGGGCATGCCTTATCATACATGATGCAAACATTTCCATAAACAGACTATTGATCAAAAGTGAGATTTTGTTTTTCAAAATCATTTGTTACCGGGTAATATCTTGCCGTGCATGTTTCTGTGGAAACAAGCTGGAATCAGATGATACACTTGATTTTAATCAAAGTACTGAAAGTACTGGTATGCTAAGACCATTGAAAAAATAAGTTCTTTGTTATTAGCTTGCTATATACTGAAACCAACTATATGCAAGCAGTAAATCATTGCAGCCCATAAAAAATGACCAGCAGATATCAGAAATAACAAGCATAGTAGTATTACTTATGCAATACATGTCCCAAGTAGGCTCAAAGATGCAATGATAGGGAAGTTGTCCATTTCTTTGGATACATTGTAGGAAATGTTGATCTTGGACACCATATTATCACTTTAAAGACTGCGTATCTTATTGGTTTAAGACCATTAGTTAGACCATCATGCAAGTAACATGCTACATACAAATATTGGGCAGCTTCATTTTCCAGATTGTTTGTAAATGACTGCATAAGAGTGCCAATTTTCTAAAACAAATGATATGTCACCATAACTTAAAATAGAAGATGCCTATTCTTCCGCAACACCTGGTCTTATTCTCCTTGTACTTTTTCAGTGAATCTTGAGTAGATATTGTCTTTGTTTCAATTTTACACTTGTTTTGCTGGTTCTACAATTCAGTTGACATGTTTATATATTCTTTGTTCTCTAAAACTTGTCGCAAGATATTTTATTCCTCTTGTATTATCATTTTTTAACATCCTTACAGTGACCTTGAAATTTGCAAGATGTGAATATCTTTTAGGTTGTGAAATTTGATAGAAAAATGAGGGTAATGCAAAGAACACCCCATGCATCTATCCGTTTTTTGACTGTGACCTTGATCTTTGACATCTGACCCTGAATTTCTAAAGAAACCGACTTCTCCTCATAAGGGATACATGTTCCAAATTTGATTAAGGTATACTGTCTTAGTCTCAATGTGTTTACAAGGTAATCATATAGTACTTATGCAAGTACTGTGACCTCTACATTCAATCCTCAAAATCATTACTATATCCTCTCCACATTGCCCAGGGATAACTGAAACTGTAATACAAATGATAAATGATACCCCCATCACCCACAGCCTTAGTTATCTCCCCATGGTGACCTTTTGCACAGAAACATCCTCTGAAACACAGCGGCATATGCACGTTCCCTAACAATCATGCAAAGTTTTGTTGAAATTGGTCCACAGGTTTAGAAGTTGACTGACAAGCAAAACCTGTCTATATTGACCAGTTGCCATGGCAATCAATATTTCGAGGGAAAATGGTGCATGCACATCTACACATTGTCCTGAATATTACTGAAAAGTTTCATTGGAGTTGTCCAGACAAGATGTGTCTACAGACAGACAAACAGATGGATGGACTGATAGACAACCTGATTCCAGTTTACCCACCCTTTTGGTGGTATAAGAATGCACAAGAGTGCTTACAAATTCCATGTGGACAGACATTATGGAAAAATAATAATAATAATAATATAATAAAAACATGATACAGATGCTTATATCTTGTTTTCTTTATTCAGTATTCTTTCCATGCTTTGATCAGCAATGTAATCTTGTCATGTCAATATCCTAGTACAAGATTGCATACACAAAATTGTTGTAGGTAGACTTTTAAGATACATAAAAAATACATGCCTAAGTTTAAATGAAGGTTTTAAACAGAAGTCATATTATGTTCAGTATACAGTGATTTTTCTAGACAATTGTAAACTATAAACTCGGTATACAGCGATCTTTTCTACACATTTGAAAACAACAAACTCAGTATGCGGTGATCTTTTCTACAAAAAGTTTTTTTTATATATATTTGTATACACTTAACTTCAGAAAAAAATAAATAAGTAAACCTTTCTATGTACACTACAAACTCAGTATACAGTGATCCTTTCTACACAAACTTGGTATAACTAGTGAATCTTTCTACTCAAGTAAATTGAAGATTGTATACAAATTTACTACAAATGCAGTATACAATGATCTTTTCCACATTTTTCAGTTTCCACGATTTGTTGATTCTTCTTTTGTGATGGTAAATATACTGCCGCCTTTAGAAAGTACTGTGACATTAAAAGGCAACATGGTTGTTAGCATCTCCTCAAGTGATTAATCATCTTCAACATCTAATTGGAGGCCGGAAAGAAGGATGTTTTTCTCCACCATAAGGTCCTCAAATCCATTGTTGGTCACCATAGCCAATTCCAACTTAGAAGAATCAATAGAGATACCTTCTACCATTCCAGATTTCATTTCTTCAGGGACATCCACTTGCTGAAAGAGAGTAAGGGAAATAAATAACTATATTTCATTATTGCTATGATTATGTGCAAGAAATATACACTTCTGTATAAGCTTACAGTCTTCCCAATAGGAGTCTATATTAAATATACTGTCAAATTATTAAGCGATGGACAGCTAGCAAAATGATATCTTGACCATGGTCATACAGAGATTGAATCATAAAATTAAATTTGTGTGATAAATCTGTGCAGTATGATAATTAATTTTGACCTTTGTATTTCAAAAATCATTTTGACTTGAAAAGTAATGTGTAATTTAATTAATTACATTGGACCGTCATGTAATGGTTATTTAATTATTTTGAAAATACCTGTAATGGCAATGCCATTTTCATAATGTAATTGTAATTTAATTAATTACATCATCATGTAATTGAACCCATGCCTGTTACAAACAGTAGCTGTCCTAACTGATCCTAAAATTAACTTTGGCTATGTCTATCACAAAATTAACTTTGGCTATGTCTATTACAAATGCCACATTTAGCTACAGTAGAGGTATTTCAAAAATGTATGTCATTGTAGCTGAAAGGACATAATTAATGGTTACTTAACCAGAACTATAGTTCTGAACAAACCACTACAAAGCCTGGTTAACTGTACTAAGAAAATGTCCTCTCAATTAATCAATTTCATTGATTATCGACATCTTGTTGTTGTACTTACGGTCACTTGAGTTTCTTAAAGTTTCAATTTGACTTTTAATAAGGCCCAAAGTGATAATACTGCAATGTCTTAATAAGCTCTCGAGGGGTATTTGTTTGACTATTTATCCCATTTCATTCCATTCACCATGGAAACAAAACTCTAAAACACTTAAAAACAGTCGACAATTAATGACAAATATTGAGCATAGGGCTGTGTAAAATTGATGAATCAAGTGTTGAACTGAAAGTGGAAGCAGTTGACATAATACTGAAATTTCTGAGATAAACAAATACAGTACATATATCAAAAGTTCAGGCATAATAAGAATTGTACCAATTACACTTTACACATTCACACTGGGACCTAACACTTTACATATTCACACTGGGACCTAACACTTTGCTAGGTTTTTCCTAATCTTTATTAAAACACTTTCCGGGATTCAGATGTCAATCGACATCTTCATTATTACCAATCTTTATATTGCAATCGTTCACATGCATCACTCTTCAACAGAATCAACGAGACATCATGTCAGAAAGACAAAAACTAAATTAAAACTAAAAACTATAACTTCACTTGTAAACCTTACAATTAGCATAGCTGTAGAGTTCCTGTACGATTTCATACCCTGGCCTTGAGGTACTTCTAAATTATCTCCGATCAGAAATTTGAAAGAGCTAGATCTACAATAGCACGGACAGTGACCGATATTTTAAAGTAAAATCGATATATTACATAGAAAGATTTCTAGATCTATTCACGGTAGCGTAAGTAGTACAGTACAATCAGGGACCTGTATATTAACATATATACGTCCCTGGTACAATATTACGGATAAGATTTTTTCTGTTTAATTTCCTATCTGTTGGGCCACTGACAGAAGTGACTGCGATGAGACCATTATGAAACGATCATTCAAAAATAAATTCATTTCAAAACACTGAAATACTTTACGGAAGCGACAAAAATGTGCTAGATGCTTACATAACATTTTTCAAATGCATACTGCTTCAAAGGAAAAGTCTTGAAAATATTTTGAAAAAAGTGCCATGGCGGCAGTGCCCAGCTTGCGCGTCGCCGTCGAGCCTAAATTCAATACATGCGATAGCTCATTTCAAATGAATTTTTGCTAAAAATGCAATTGCTAGTTCAGTATAAATATTGACTTTAGATTCAGCTTATATATATAAAGTGATACTTACCTACATAAAATACCCGCCATCTTCTTTCTGCCGCCGTCTTCTTTCAGGGTCCAGCAGCAAAGAGCACCCCGGCTGTTTCCGTCAAAATTTTATGCTACTCTTAAATCATTCTTATCTTAGTTTCATTCTTATTTTCAACTACATATTTCAGTATTTTCAAAAGTTTTCAACAGTATTAAACGGGATGAAAATTTTCGAAAAAGAAAAAAAAAGAAAGATATATGACACCCACAATGCATCGCGCGGCAAAGAAAGTTAAGCCGCCATATTGGCATTGCCTCGCAAAATTTACCACCATAAAACGTGAGTCTTTGTCATTGTATTTACAAATTTCGATGTCTGATTATCATTAATACACAACACAAAACGTTTTCTTGATGTACAAGTAATGAAGAAAATGTCGATAAGGTTGTTTCATTTAATGACTAGCATCAGCAACTTCTAGGGGCGATAATCCAATGATTACGGTAATGTCCGGCAGATGGAGTAGGAGTAAACTTTCGATTTATGAACCAATGAAAACGAAGTACCGATACTCGGGGCCAGGGGCGACAGCAACATGCTGAAGAGCATTGAAAATGCTCTTAGCATAAAAAAAAAATGAAAAAAAGAAAAAAAATTATTTATTGTGATGTCACTTTAAAATGAAATTACTATTGGTGCAGGTATCAGCTTCTGGAAGTGAAACAAACACAGGATTTCTAAACAATGATTGATGCTTGTTATAATAGCTCAGTACAATAGAAGTCAACCCAGCTGTTCAGGTCTATAACATATATCTGCAGCTAGCACAGGAATAAAACTTTTACATATTTGTGTCAAGAACATATATCTCTCAACAGTACATATATACCATAACTCAAGTGTTAAAGTGACAATAATCTCACCTGACAGGAAAATAGCTTAGGATTAAAGGGACCTACACTGGCTTAAATGTGTTAGCATAAATGTGTTATATGTGAACCTAGTGATTAATTTTGACATAAACATCATCAGGGCCTAAAAGATTGAACTCTAAAATGAACATCATCAGGGCCTAAACCGACTAATCCTGACATGAACATCATTAGTGGTAGAGTGCTCAACCTTGACATGAACATCATCAGGGCCTGGAATGCTCCATCCTGACATGAACATCATCAGGGCCTAAATTGATTAACCCTGACATGAACATCATCAGGGCCTAAATTGATTAACTTTGACATGAACATCATCAGGGCCTGGAATGCCCCACCCTGACATGAACATCACCATGGCCTAAAAGATTAAACTCTGACATGGACATCATCAGGGCCTAAATTGATAAACCCTGACATGAACATCTTGAGAACTTCAAGTTCCAATACCTTGCCTGTACATTGGTTGGGTCCTCATCTTCACCAGTTGTCTGGTTAACACACTTCATGGACAAAGCCACTTTATCATCCTGTAAACAAATATCAGTAACCTGGGTTGTAGTTCTAAATATCAGTAACCTGGGTTGTAGTTCTAAATATCAGTAACCTGGGTTGTAGTTCTAAATATCAGTAACCTGGGTTGTAGTTCTAAATATCAGTAACCTGGGTTGTAGTTCAGGATGAACACTTGATGAACATTTCTAAATATCAGTAACCTGGGTTGTAGTTTAGGATGAACACTTGATGAACATTTCTAAATATCAGTAACCTGGGTTGTAGTTTAGGATGAACACTTGATGAACATTTCTAAACACTTTGGTATCAAAACACATATCTTACATAAACATTTCACAAATACAAAAAGGAGGCAAATCACATCAGAATCACAGAATTTAATCAAAAGAAGCCTAACCATAAATATATATATTGTCGAACCTTGTTATTTCAAAGTCGGTTGGAAACTTCTTAGTTATCCAAGTTTCAATTTAAGTTCAAATGTTTAGCGTGAAGTTTGGCCAGGACTGATGAATATTTTGAATTATACAATGTCAGCTGCATTCTTAAGTAGGTAAGACTTTTGGTCTGCATCTCAAATCTGTGTTGTTTTGTTTTTTCACCCTTAAACATTTTTTCTCAAATGTCTTTACCTCAATAGAGATGACTTTACAGTAGACCTTCTCTCTGACACTCAGCATCTCAGATGGGTCATCCACTCTTGCCTTCGACATCTGGGATTTATGTACCAAACCTTCATATAATGACAACATTAATTTATACCCACATTAAAACACTGACGAATCCATATACTGTAATTGTGGGCCATATCATAACACTGAGGAATCCATACTCTGTAATTGTGGGCCATATCATAACACTGAGGAATCCATACTCTGTAATTGTGGGCCATACCATAACACTGAGGAATCCATACTCTGTAATTGTGGGCCATATCATAACACTGAGGAATCCATACTCTGTAATTGTGGGCCATACCATAACACTGAGGAATCCATACTCTGTAATTGTGGGCCATATCATAACACTGAGGAATCCATACTCTGTAATTGTGGGCCATATCATAACACTGAGGAATCCATACTCTGTAATTGTGGGCCATATCATAACACTGAGGAATCCATACTCTGTAATTGTGGGCCATACCATAACACTGAGGAATCCATACTCTGTAATTGTGGGCCATACCATAACACTGAGGAATCCATACTCTGTAATTGTGGGCCATATCATAACACTGAGGAATCCATACTCTGTAATTGTGGGCCATACCATAACACTGAGGAATCCATACTCTGTAATTGTGGGCCATACCATAACACTGAGGAATCCATACTCTGTAATTGTGGGCCATATCATAACACTGAGGAATCCATACTCTGTAATTGTGGGCCATACCATAACACTGAGGAATCCATACTCTGTAATTGTGGGCCATATCATAACACTGAAGAATCCATACTCTGTAATTGTGGGCCATACCATAACAATAATATAAATAAAACTTTTGTAGTTTTTGTTACTAAATAGTGTCAAATCTTTACACCTACCTTGTTTTCTAGAATCTGGAATCTTTATAAACACGCCATATGCTTGGACACTAGCCACCTATAATCAGAAATGAGAAACCAAAGATTATCATTGATGGCTGTTTGAGAATTACTTTGGTTTTTGTGTGATTTTTTTATCCTCACAAAAGCTGCTTATCATATTATTGTACCCATAATGTAATAAATGAAATTTACACTTTGATTCCGACACTGTGCATATACCAGTATACATTTCAATGTCCCTGATGTTTAAGTCACATTACCATATCCCCGACGTTAAGGCCACATTTCAATGTCCCCGACATTAAGGTCATATTTCAACGTCCCTGACATTAATGCATAAATGCAAATTTGTTTATTCTACTGCAGAAAAGCTTAGTTTGAATGCATATAGATTTTGCTAGCCTAATGTGGCCCCCATTCAAAATGAAGTACATTGAAAAGTTATAAGGAGTACAAAGACAAGCAACAAAACATATACTTGGATAAAACGAGCTGAGCTATCCTGAGAGACTAAAGAAATCAAAGCTGCCTACATATACACTGTTATACAGAATACTAGGATGTGACAGGATTGAATCGTATGAAACAATAAACAATCATTATGAACCAGAAACAAGCAATTTTGTATCACTATGTAAAAACACAGCTAACAGACATGCAACATGAGAAAATACTCTGAAAATTTACTCACGAAATAACAGTTCGTAAATAAGGAAAATATTTCGCTTTCAGAACCGTCAACGGATGGAACAACTTACCAGGAGGTGTTGTCAATGCACCAACAAAGAAATTCCTTTAAGGAGGAATCCAAAAAGGGATTTGGGAAACCAATACATACTGTATGTCCTAATAGTTACGTGAATAAAATAATTTGGAGATTAGACCTTGAGTTTGGTGAAGAGGACCTCTAGGGCCTGTACTAGAAACATAAGTCTCGGATACATGTCTACTTTCAGTTTGGTGTTTACCTCTCCCTGAAACACAGAGTATAAATCCGGTAGATCTTCCCTTTTGAAAAACTTGTAACGGTCACCACGTCCTCCCTCATCCTGTTCAGTTGAATGACGTTTAGACATTTTTTGGAAATGTGTTAACACATCACAAGCGATTAAGACTGTTGATCTCTACCCATGAACAGTAAAATGTGATGCATCCAGAATAAGTCCACGCGGAACTCCTCTACTGCGATAGTAATAATAACTTCAGCCCGGCACCGCCAGATTGCCCGGTACAGCTCGGAAACTATATACCGGACCGTCCGGGCTTTTATTTGCACCTATGTCAAGTTAATATTGTCTTATATGCAAATATATTAACAAAATCAATATAACAGTCAAAATATGGAGCAAAATTATCAGAAATTGTCCGAGTTATGTGTATTAGAAAGCGGTGACGTCACAACAATTCGCCATAAATCGTATTTGTAATACCGGACCGTATACGTATAAAGAAATGACGGGAAAATCTTTTAAAAAATGACAAAAATTATTACCATTTGAAATCATCGATATCGCAAAAATCCGTTCGCACGCTGTCATTTGCAATACCGGGGCCGCCCGGACTTTTATTTACGTATCATAAAATCTGTCTTACATTCATTCTTGTAAATAAAATAAATATCATATTCCAGAAATAACGAAAATATATTAAAAATTTACAACATGATTGCTACTTGTAATCACTTGGTGACTTTCATCATGTATGCTAATTATTAACAAGAGCAGGTTCGCCGTATTACAATCTTCGGTAATTGCATTAACCAGTGTTAATGTGTGGATGTGCGCAATACGAAATAAGAGGTCAAACGGACCCGCATTGTTCGCTATTTCAGCAGCTTATAGAGTTAACGCAGTAGGCCTATCTCTTACATTACCAATTAATCTCTTCACTATTGAAGTAATTTTTATCATATTTGACCCTTGTGACATGCAAATGATCACGGTCATCCATTTACATGATACAAGATACCTTATTATACGTCAAAAGTATGGCAATTGAACATTAACTTGGAAGAGCTTGTATGTCATCAAACAACTTAAAAAAACAAGAGATCCCAGAGGGATCTTGGCGCCAACAATTGATTGATCTTTATTTGCTCTTTGAAAGTTGGATCTTTTCTCTTCTTTTCTCTTGTCTTCTCTGATTTTGCTCTTAATGATAAGAACATTCCTTTGCATAAATAGCGATGATAATCTTTACCTGCCAAATCCAAAATGGCCGCCTGGAAGCCATTTTGATTCTTCTTATCATTTCCAAAATCAAACAGGTACAAAGAGAGACCAATGGGAACATACGTATGAAATTTGAGAGATATCCTTCAGTACTTGTAAAGAAATAGGGATAACAATCTTTACTTGGCTGCCTGTCGGCCATTTTGTTTTTCTGATTAGTTCCAAACTCAAACAGCACAATAAGGGACCGGAAGAAATCAATACATGAAATTTGATAACAAACTTTCATAGTCAAAATCAAAGATGGCCGCTTCTGGGCCATTTTCTTTGTTCTGATCAGTACCAAAACCAATCAGGCACAACAAGGGGAACTTACACATGAAATTTGAGATAGAACTATCCTTCAGTTCTCAAGAAATAGCAATAACAAACTTTCAAAGTCAAAATCAAAGATGGCTATCTTTTGATCATTTTGTTTTTCAGATCAGACCCAAACTCAAACTGGCACAATTAGGGACCAAAAGGAACATACATATGGAATTAAAGAAAGATCCATCAAGTACTTCTCAAGAAACAGTAATAACAAACTTTCAAGTTTAAAATCCAAGATGACCGCCTTTCGGCTAATTTGTTTTTCTGACCAGTCCTAGAATTACATGATCACAACTAGAGACCAAGGGGTACCTATGCATGAAATTTAAGAAAGAAATACCGTCTGATGATGGTGGGCTAAAAACCAGACATACAAACATAACTTAAGATTATAGACAACATTATCTATCATAAGTGAAAAAATCATCACATTTATGCTAGAGCTTCACAGATTAGAAGTTAAGCAATTGAAAACAGAATTTGTAAGAAATCGTCTAAGATTTTCATCACATTTATTTTCGTGACCTTAAAAGTGGGTAAATCGTTTTCTTCATTTTAACAAATTGATAGTCATTCATATATATTTAAACGCCACTTGCAAGTAGGTCAAGGTATTTCATTCTAACACCCTTGTTAGTTTTTCAACCGCTAATATACAAAACATTGGTTACTACCTGAAAAAATGAAAATTGATCAATCAATTATCAGCTTGGCCACCTAGGTAATCTGCCGGTACTACACGTACGGGCTTCTGTCTCAGTCAAACCCTGGCATGCTTCAGTCCAGGTCAATACGAGTGTTTAATAATATAATTTGTTTCTCAGTGGTTGTAAAGCAAGTGCTAGAATATCCTAGATGACATCCAGAGACAATTTCAAATTGGGACACTTAATATTTCGCTTAAAACATTACCATGAAACCAGTAACGAGCATGATGTCTTTCTTTGTTAGTTTACAGTTACGTGTGACCTTAGGTGACCCTAGATGCTGTATGGACACGAAAATGAAGCAGAAAACAACAAGAAAGTATCAACATTTCAACAAAATCATAAATCACACTCAGATTCAATAAAACTAGGGCAAAATACATTTTTGTGTATGAACAGAAGAAAGATTGACACGGAGACTCATGATAAAGTACAAGGCGAAAAAGACCGGGAGTTACGGAAGAGTAAGCGTTTTTGCTTCATCGACGACACCCGCCATGTAAACCTTGGTCAATCCAAGTAAGTAACCATCATCTTCCCACCTATATTCACATATTCAAAGGGAACGTGAACCTCGGAAAGAAATTAATTTATCATGTCAATGTCCACCAAGGCCAAAGGGAACGTAACATAGGAAACCTATTCATTGACCGTGTCGATGTACACCAAGGACACAAGACTTACCTCTACTAGCTGCTTAATCTCTTTCCCTACAATAGGGTCTGCTTTCATTCAAGCTCTGCGATGAATGGGTCATGATTTCAATTTCCCTATGGTGAATTTTCCATTTATTAATACTAATAACATCTAGCAAATTGTAATTAGAATGTGTTTTTGTATACTGTCAGTGTCGCCAACGAAGTAGAAGACACCCTTCCAGAACACCTGGTCTAATTCTCATTGTATATTTTAAGGAGATCTCCATTTGCTTATATACTAAAAGGATAAAGAAACCCAGGATGAACTTTAAACCAGAAATTAAGTATGATATCGGGCTTCATTTAAAACGAAATTTTGTATACTTACAGATAAATTAAAGCTTAAAAATTTCCAAAGTCTGGATTTTGCATCTGACAATTGGTTTAGAGGTACTAACGATTAAATTGAATGGACCCATAGGATTTTGAAATTGAAATTGAACTGAGTCATCAATATCTTGTGTGTCCGCCGTTTGCTGTGGTCTCGGCCCTTATTCTTCTGGTCACAGAGTTCATGAGAGCGTTAATCCGTCTTATGGGGATGTTGTCCCACTCTTCAATCAGAGTTCTGGTCAACTGCTCTCGAGTAGCAGGGGGTGGCTGGCGCTTTCGAACCTGTCTATCCAACTGGTCCCAAAGATGCTCGATCGGGGACAAATCAGGGCTATGTGGCGGCCAATCTAGTGGTTGAATGTTGTTGTTGGCAAGAAAGACTTGGCAAATCCTTGCTAAGTGGGGCCTAGCATTATCCTGCTGGAGGGTTAGATTATGCTGCTTTAAGAAAGGGACAATATGGGGTCGGAGGATCTCATCTCTATACTTAGCTGCTGTTAAATTGCCATCAATAACAACCAATTGTGATATTATCCCGTGTGAGATTTTCCCCTACACCATTACTGAACCGCCCCCAAACCTATCCCTCTCTACAACGCAAGCGTCCGTAAAACGTTCGCCACGACGTCGGTAGACACGTTGACGGTCGTCAGAACGATAAAGACAGATTCGAGACTCGTCCGTGAAGAAAACTTGTCTCCACTGCCTCAGTGGAAACCGTCGTTGAGCATGTGCAGCGACCCAGGCCATACGACGCTGACGTCGAGCAGGGGTAAGGTAACATCAGTAAGGCGCCGATTAAGCACCTAGGTCGATCGGCCAGTCGCCCAGTTTCCCGAAGACGTCTGACAAGACGTTCTATGGTGGAAACATTAACATCAAAGTGCCTAGCAACCTGATTTTGCAGCTGTCCTTGCATCAGCATCTAAATGGCCTGACCCCTCGAAACTTCTGTGAGTCGTGCCATTCTTAAAACGAATCAAATTCTCAATTAATTTTAGAGAAGCAGTTGGTCTGTATAAAGACTAACGAAGAGTGACTTGACCAACTCTGCATGAGACCAGAACAACACGGTGCACGAAATTCTTGTTTTTTCCTTCCTCCATTTACCAGAGCTGCGCACTGTACCGTGACTAAATTTTCGATACACGACAAGGTGTAACATGACCTAATTACTCAATCCACAAAGTTTCACTTTATTTGGAGAACGCGTTTTCAAAATATCGGAATAAATATTACCCTGCGTTTCTTTATCCTTTCAGTATATAATTTCATAGTTTCATAAAATTTGAGTTGAATTTTGAGTTAGTTTTAAACTTCAGACGAGTTTGACCTTTAAATCATAAGGCTACATTTCTCTCGCTATGCTTCAGAGACTAAGAAGTTCTGACCGTGACAAGTATCTTGGACGGTTTGGTTGATGGGAAAGCCCAACAAAGCAGTAATAAACTACATACCGGGCATGATCTAAATACACTATAAGGATTGAACAATTTATACTGCAATGAAATAATACTGAATTAAACTGCATCATACAGCTGTTTCATCCTTCTAGTTCTTGTCAGTGATGCTAGGGTCTACTAATTAATAAAACAGTACCATACAAATGTTTCACCTTTATAGAACTCGTCATGCAGTGATGCAAAGGGTCTGAAATGTTGAAACATTGGAGGGAAAGAAAATCAAGATATGGTTAAAAAAAATACCAACAAAATGCCAATAGGTCCTGTGTCGCTCACCTTATTTTGTTTGCTGAAATTGCCTAATCTAAATAAAATGAGAAGCATTTAAAAGATATATGTCTATTTCTCCATCAGGTTCCTCGCTTTGTCCCATAGGAATCAGTGCATTTACACAAAATTAAATTCCATTAAACCTAGGATGCTTCGGTCCCAAATTTGGGCAAAGTCTAATCATTTCCACAGAATATGAACAATTTTAAAGAGCTTGCTACATTTCCTCCTATAGTGACCTGGCCCATGGGGTTGAGATCCCATGTTTAGACAAAATTAATTTCCCTTAACCAAGAAGCTTCAGACCAAATTTGGGCAAAATCTAATCATTCCTACAAGAGGAGTAGAATTATAAAGAATTTGCTTTATTTCCCGTACTGAACACTGCTCCTTCTGCCCCAAAGGGCAGATACCAACTACTTATACATAATTGATGCCCTTTCATCAAAAAATGCTCCAGACTAAATTTGGACAAATTCAGTCATTCCTACAGTTGTGGGATTTTAAAGAACTTATGCAATTCCCCTTTGGGCCCCACCCTTCAATTTCCATGGGACAAAGACCCACCATTCATACTAAAAGTAATTACCCTTTTCCCAAGGATGCTTCTGACCAAATTTGATCAAAGTTTGTTAAGTCGTTCATGACTAGTAGCAATTTGTAGAAAGGTTGACAAACCGACTACTGTTATATGCCCCAAGCTCACTTGGCCCTTTGGGGAGGTGTGCTATAACATGCAAATTTACAGTATTCCATTTACATTTGTAGTCAACAACTTGAGAACATTTGAATAAGAACAAGGGCAACAAAGCTGTGTTACTTGACTTTATTTTTGTAAATATAGAAATACTATGAGTGTATAATTTTGATCTAGCATAACAATTAATTAAATGACAAAGGCAAAGAAACAAAACAAAAGAAATATATGAAAACAATCACCTAATCTCAAAAGTAGACAAATGAGCATACATGTATCTACATAGGAATGCTAAAGTCTGATTAAGTGTATACAATAATATCAATTTTTTAATCCTTCATCGATAATTTTCCATTATAGCAATTATTGGTGAGTCTAGTGGTGATGATTGCCAGACAACAAGGACTTGATCTGATCCTTGAAATTAGATATAGGACCCTGAAATTAGGTTTAGGACCCTGAAATTAGATATAGGACCCTGAAATTAGGTTTAGGACCCTGAAATTAGATATAGGACCCTGAAATTAGGTTTAGGACCCTGAAATTAGATATAGGACTCCAGAATATCAAAAGACTGTGAAGCAGACCATTTACTTCCTATTTCCCACTGGATATTCAGAGTGAAAGACAACTTTTTCTACCCCACAAAATATCTCTATCTTACCCTTGCAAGACAGCCTGCATGCATAGGAAGTGACATTTCAGGTTCCTGTGATTGTTAATGACATCATTTTATGACGTGGGGGTCATTGACATCATTAACAATTGTCATTTGGGACACAAACACTAATGGTTATAATGTCACATGTTTATTTATTTGTTTACTTATTATTTATTTTTAAGGGAAAAAGGGGGAAAAAAGGATCATTCCCTAACAAGAGGGAAGGACAGAGAAATCTCTACCCTCGGAGGAGACACCTAATAGTCTAGCTCTCGACAAAGCCTTGGGTTAGACAATCAATAATCTCTTCTTCAGGAGGCCATTTTTCTGTCCTACCCTCCAGCTATTGAAAAATCTTAGTAATCCATGCTGATGAATAATAGACAAAATCACAAAGTGGCTGAAAAAAACAAATATAATGAAGGATATAAATATAACATTTTTGTTGGCCACTGCAGACAGATTTACCTTAAATAAAATACATGCTGACTGTAAGGAATACACAGGGTATCCTAAATACATCTAAAAAATAGTATGTCACCATTGTATGTCTATTCTATACAGAAATGTAGGACAATAAATATAAACAACAGCAGAAATAAACATTCAGCATAAATTAATGATTTATGAGTAGGGTGTGGGATCTTTTATAAAATCAATTGTCCTATTGCCTCTGTATCTCAGCCAAGGGATCCAGAGGTGTTTGTGGAGGAAACTTAAGATGAACAACGGGAGGGGTGCATGAGTTGTGTTTTAAAGGAAAACATTATGGACAGCAGATGACAGAAGGCGCATGACAATAGGCCAAGCATGATAGGTAAATCTTGACCCTTCCAGTCTGGTGACCTGGGAAATCCATAAGGATTTGTACCTATTAGCTATGGAGAATTTCGTAAAGGGAGACAACTATAGTACAACATAAAATTTGTATTAACTCTAAACAGGTCTTTAATACATGGCAATAGGTTGAAAATACAACAAGTTAACAGATTCATAAGGCTGACAGTTTGTACATACAACTTATTAAAATATTATATTACATTATATGGCAGGGAAAACTATCTACTCAGCCTGGAGCATCAAACCTGATGATATCATTCCAATTTGATATCAAAGATAAGCATTTCAACAAAAATTTCGTCAATCTTACTCTGATACAGATTCAAAAATGTCAAAATTCAAAATATAATAGATTCAATACCCTATTCCATGAATGTGTACATCTTTGAATTTCCATTTTGAAATTAAGGGTGAATGACTTGACAAACAACTTGTTAAACATTTAACACTGGTATTATAATTCAGTCTCAGACCTACTATAATACAAAGTCAGTTTCAGTTGTTATTACCTGTTGGAAACCTTATAGTTTGATTCAAGGTTCTTACATACTATGGTAAATGAGAAGTAAAACATTCTTGTTTTTCCCGAAATTTTTCATAAAAATCATTACAAATCAAAGTTCCAACCTCTAAAAATGAATTGTGAAAAATTGTATAAATACTACAATCTTTTGTCTAGTACAAATTCATCAAATTCAATCACATATCAACCGTGTGCTGGTAGAGGGAAATGGGTCTGAATTCCTCATAGTCTACAATAAATAAATTGTTCTCGAGGCAGACAATGGCACATTAAAATCTGTGACATAGGAAACTACCCTCATACAGGATACATATCTACACAAAAGTGATCTGTACACATCTTCCACTGGTGATATTTATAATTATATAAATGCCACATCTCCCACAGACAGGCACAGACAGGTTACAGTCTGTCTACGTTGTGCTGGGTGTGACCACAGCATTAACACAATTTACATGAAAGGGCACTTTGTCTTCCCTGACGGAATGGTTATGAGATGTGATAAAGATTTTCTGTTCCCAAGTAAAGTTTGCATTCAAATCAAGTTTTTCAAAAACACTATATATATGTTCATAAAACTTTTCCACTACACAAACAGTTAAAACAAAACTTAGTCTAGTCCACAGGTGACAATAATATAAATGAAAATTTCATTTTAGATTTTTAGTCCTTGATATTTCATCAATTATATTTAATATACAAAAAGGTTTGCAAAAGTTCTTTATGAATTCAAATCTTCAAATGCAAAAGGATGTAAGTAATACAGGTTACAGTCCTTTCCAGATATTTAAAGTTAGAGATTTGATAAAGACAATGCAACTTGTCAAATTAAGACACATGAGACAACTTTTGGTTCAGTTGTTCATTAAGGAATAAAATCAAATAACATGTGTATATATTTTTATGTATTTTAGAAAATTTTGCTTTCAAATTTTGTCATAATTTCAAAAAGATATAAAAAATCAGTCATTTAAAAGCTAATCTTAAAGTCCTACTATGCAAGAATGTCCTGTCAAGTATGAAATAAATCAAATCTGATACAGAGGTCACATGACCAATGATCAAAACAGGTCATATGACCAGTGATCAAAACAGGTCACATGATTAAATATACAACTACTTAAATATTTTTTATTTTACATTTTTTATAAGGAAGAACTCCAATCACTTTCCTCAGGTAACAGATAAATGGTGAAAAACTTAAATATGAAGACACATTACAGTTTCATGATGATAAGAAGTTGGAACGTTGTGTAGGCCAATTGTGTGTACGTCCATCCAAATTGCTCAGTCAGTCATAGGTTTGGAACTGTTCCTGCAAAAAGAAAATGAATTGCTGGAAAACATACTAAGACAATTATTGTGAAATAAATACATGTACCATACATAGTGTAATTATACTTCTATGGAAGGTAATCAAAGAGTCTAACCAAAATTACTACCTGAAGAATTTCATTCTCGACAGTTAAGTTTAAAACGTATCAAAAATTTTATAAACAACAAAAAAAAAAAAACTTTCAATTTTAACTTCAGACGATAAAAGTTCAGCTAGGTAAAAAACATCATCTTTGTATTTTGGACAATTAGAAGGAGGGACAACAACATAGGCCTCTGCCCATTTATGGAAAAGAAATCTTTTTATTAAGAACAGCACATGAATCTGTAGAGGGGTTCATGAAATGTCTTAATATATGTCTTATCTCAAAAGGGTTAAGTGTGACCTTCGACCTTTAATCTTGACCAATGCCCATGAAAATCAAATTACATGTAGATTTGATAGTGTGATACCATGTTGTTAATAAAACCAGCGGAAGGGCTCAACATCATGAGATATTTGGTGAAATGCAAGCTTTTTTACTCAAGGGTGACCTTTGACCTTAATCAATAACCCTCAAATTCTAATCATCTTGATGTGTGAAGGTATGGTATCAATATGAACTACATACATTTGCAGATTCATGTGATGTCTCATTCAGAAGCTTTACATAGACACACACAACAAAGTGATGCTACCCCGTAATAAAATGAGGAAGGAAATCAAAGCTCTGAATGTATAATAGTCTCTGGTCAAAACAGAAGAAACAAGAAGAACAGTAGTACATAAAAAGGTCTCTGTATAGAGAGCTACATTACTTCACAGATAACTACTGTCTTTACAGTAAGTATATTCTATCAACATGGAAAGAAGGAAAATAAAGAAAACAATCTTCCAAACAATATCTCGAGTCTCTAGCTTCTCCAATATCATAAATAATTTTGTACACTTGAGACAATCATATACAAAGATAAAAACTAATACTGTAATAGCACACAGCCAAAAAGCCAAGAATTAAAATAAGCAACAACTCTTTTGTATCTAACAGGACACAGCAGAGGTCAATATATAATAGTAACTTCAAATACTAGATGCTGTGATGTACAAATACTAGATGCTGTGATGTACAAATACTAGATGCTGTGATGTACAAATACTAGATGTTGTGATGTACATACTATATGTCGTGATGTACATACTAGATGTCGTGATGTACATACTATATGTCGTGATGTACATACTATATGTCGTGATGTACAAATACTAGATGTTGTGATGTACATACTAGATGTCGTGATGTGCATACTATATGTCGTGATGTACATACTAGATGTTGTGATGTACATACTATATGTCGTGATGTACATACTAGATGTTGTGATGTACATACTATATGTCGTGATGTACAAATACTAGATGTTGTGATGTGCATACTATATGTCGTGATGTACATACTATATGTCGTGATGTACATACTATATGTCGTGATGTACATACTAGATGTCGTGATGTACATACTATATGTCGTGATGTACATACTAGATGTTGTGATGTACATACTATATGTCGTGATGTACATACTATATGTCGTGATGTACATACTAGATGTCGTGATGTACATACTAGATGTTGTGATGTGCATACTATATGTCGTGATGTACATACTAGATGTTGTGATGTACATACTAGATGTTGTGATGTGCATACTATATGTCGTGATGTACATACTATATGTCGTGATGTACATACTATATGTCGTGATGTACATACTATATGTCGTGATGTACATACTGTATGTCGTGAAGTACATACTATATGTCGTGATGTACATACTAGATGTCGTGATTTACGTACTAGATGTCGTGATGTACATACTAGATGTCGTGATGTACATACTAGATGTCGTGAAGTACATACTATATGTCGTGATGTACATACTAAATGTCGTGAAGTACATACTAGATGTCGTGATGTACATACTAGATGTCGTGAAGTACATACTATATGTCGTGATGTACATACTAAATGTCGTGAAGTACATACTAGATGTTGTGATGTACATACTAGATGTCGTGATGTACATACTAAATGTCGTGAAGTACATACTATATGTCGTGATGTACATGGCCATTGTGATGAAAAAACTTGCCAAGATAAAGACAACCTATTATATATATATATATATAGAAGTACAAACTAATTTTCTATGAAGTCAAAATATTCATAACTAAACACCATTTCAAAAAAATGGTTTTCATACAAAACAAAATATGCTCTCAGGACAAATGATAATGCCAAAAGTATTTCCCCTTTGGTAAAAATACCAACAAACAATTCTCTAAATTCTCTGTAAAAATTATCCATTCTCTGTAAAAATCAATTTGGCGTAGAAGAAAATATAACTATTCCAGTGTTGATACATCAACAATAAAGATGATAGTAAACACAGGAGTGAGATAATACAGACAATCACCCTAGTTAGATCGGTATTAAGTGCACCACAATCAGATGTAAGCTTTTCTAATAAAACACCAAAAAGAGATCACCACACATTATGGTTTTTTATTTTAAGCAGTGAATATTTTAAAAAATATATATAAACACAGAAAAACACTTATGATTTCATTACCATAGGCTAATCCCACTTGAGCTATGAGTACCACTGTGAATAAACAAGGAAGATAACTCTGTCATCGAGTTGTTCAGTAGTTAAGATTTATACATCAACACAATTGACACCAACAAGTCTGGGATAGATTACATACTAAATTCATTTATTTCTAGTATATATACCAATAATGAGAGAATATACCTCATCTATCTCTATTACATTTACAAACTGGATGCCTACGATATATAGAATATAAGTATAGAATTTATTTTGTTTCTGAATACCGTCCCATGCTTTAATCAAGGGAGATGACTACTTACATCCTGCGATACATTATCCACATTGGCATAGTTTGTATCATCGTCGTCAGAAGAATCCTCGCCTGAAGAGTCATCAGTTCCCCCAGTTGCTAGTGTTGAACCTATAAAAAACAATTTCAAATTGACAAATGAATAGAAATTGAATAATAATCAAGAATTCTAACAGGTAAAAAATACTTTTTGTGAGGATGAAACACTTCAAGATAGCTTCTCTCAGTCTAAAAACTCCTTCCTTTTCTAGTGTTCATTCAACATCCTTTCTGTTTCTTTTTAAATGAAAACATACAGTGAAAACAATACAAGCACCACGTGGTCACCACACTCCACAATCCAATCATTTTTTTTGTATCAGAAGAGGCCTAGCACAAGCATGACACATACTATTTGTTTTACTAGGAGAAGCATTACAAGCAACTTTTCATTTATCAACAAATTATGTTTTTTTTTAACATTGAAATTAGACCTCAACAAAATCTCTTTGTAAAATCACTATTAACTGAGAAATCAACTTAATATCTCCTTAGTGTTTCAGAGGAAACACTACATATCTCCACTCCTTTTATGTCGATGGTAACATTGCTAAAAACACAGATCAATTACATAGTCACAAATAATATAACTGATGTCATACCTAACACAATGTTAACAATAATGGATAATCTTTAAAACACTTCTCCATTGAAGAAAATTAAAAACACCACTGAAAAATCTATAAAACACCACTGACCTATGTATAAAACACAACTGAACAATCTATAAAACACCATTGACCTATCTATAAAACACCACTGACCTATCTATAAAACACCACTGAACAATCTATAAAACACCATTGACCTATCTATAAAACACCACTCACTAATCTATAAAACACCACTAAACAATCTATAAAACACCACTCACTAATCTATAAAACACCACTAAACAATCTATAAAACACCACTCACCAATCTATAAAACACCACTCACTAATCTATAAAACACCATTGACCTATCTATAAAACACCACTGACCTATCTATAAAACACCACTGAACAATCTATAAAACACCATTGACCTATCTATAAAACACCACTCACTAATCTATAAAACACCACTAAACAATCTATAAAACACCATTGACCTATCTATAAAACACCATTGACCTATCTATAAAACACCATTGACCTATCTATAAAACACCACTGACCTATCTATAAAACACCACTAAACAATCTATAAAACACCACTGACCTATCTATAAAACACCACTCACTAATCTATAAAACACCACTAAACAATCTATAAAACACCACTGAACAATCTATAAAACAACACTGACCTATCTATAAAACACCACTGACCTATCTATAAAACACCACTCACTAATCTATAAAACACCACTGACCTATCTATAAAACACCACTCACTAATCTATAAAACACCACTAAACAATCTATAAAACACCACTGACCTATCTATAAAACACCACTAAACAATCTATAAAACACCACTGAACAATCTATAAAACACCACTAAACAATCTATAAAACACCACTGACCTATCTATAAAACACCACTCACTAATCTATAAAACACCACTAAACAATCTATAAAACACCACTGAACAATCTATAAAACAACACTGACCAATCTATAAAACACCACTGACCAATCTATAAAACACCACTCACAAATCTATAAAACTAAACAATCTATAAAACACCACTCACTAATCTATAAAACACCACTAAACAATCTATAAAACACCACTGAACAATCTATAAAACACCACTCACTAATCTATAAAACACCACTAAACAATCTATAAAACACCACTGACCTATCTATAAAACACCACTCACTAATCTATAAAACACCACTAAACAATCTATAAAACACCACTGAACAATCTATAAAACAACACTGACCTATCTATAAAACACCACTGACCTATCTATAAAACACCACTCACTAATCTATAAAACACCACTAAACAATCTATAAAACACCACTGAACAATCTATAAAACACCACTAAACAATCTATAAAACACCACTGACCTATCTATAAAACACCACTGACCTATCTATAAAACACCACTCACTATAAAACACCACTCTCTATAAAACACCACTAAACAATCTATAAAACACCACTGAACAATCTATAAAACACCACTAAACAATCTATAAAACACCACTGACCTATCTATAAAACACCACTCACTAATCTATAAAACACCACTAAACAATCTATAAAACACCACTGAACAATCTATAAAACAACACTGACCTATCTATAAAACACCACTAAACAATCTATAAAACACCACTAAACAATCTATAAAACACCACTGAACAATCTATAAAACACCACTCAATCTATAAAACACCACTAAACAATCTATAAAACACCACTGACCTATCTATAAAACACCACTACCTATCTATAAAACAATCTATAAAACACCACTAAACAATCTATAAAACACCACTGAACAATCTATAAAACACCACTAAACAATCTATAAAACACCACTGACAATCTATAAAACACCACTTAACAATCTATAAAACACCACTAAACAATCTATAAAACACCACTAAACAATCTATAAAACAACACTGAACAATCTATAAAACACCACTAAACAATCTATAAAACACCACTGACCTATCTATAAAACACCACTCACTAATCTATAAAACACCACTAAACAATCTATAAAACACCACTGAACAATCTATAAAACACCACTGAACAATCTATAAAACACCACACTAAACAATCTATAAAACACCACTAAACAATCTATAAAACACCACTGAACAATCTATAAAACAACACTCACTAATCTATAAAACACCACTAAACAATCTATAAAACACCACTGAACAATCTATAAAACAACACTGACCTATCTATAAAACACCACTCACTAATCTATAAAACACCACTAAACAATCTATAAAACACCACTGACCTATCTATAAAACACCACTGAACAATCTATAAAACACCACTGACCTATCTATAAAACACCACTGAACAATCTATAAAACAACACTGACCTATCTATAAAACACCACTAAACAATCTATAAAACACCACTAAACAATCTATAAAACACCACTGAACAATCTATAAAACACCACTCACTAATCTATAAAACACCACTAAACAATCTATAAAACACCACTGACCTATCTATAAAACACCACTAAACAATCTATAAAACACCACTAAACAATCTATAAAACACCACTAAACAATCTATAAAACACCACTGAACAATCTATAAAACACCACTAAACAATCTATAAAACACCACTAAACAATCTATAAAACACCACTGAACAATCTATAAAACAACACTAAACAATCTATAAAACACCACTGAACAATCTATAAAACAACACTGACCTATCTATAAAACACCACTGACCTATCTATAAAACACCACTCACTAATCTATAAAACCCCACTAAACAATCTATAAAACACCACTGAACAATCTATAAAACAACACTAAACAATCTATAAAACACCACTAAACAATCTATAAAACACCACTGAACAATCTATAAAACAACACTAAACAATCTATAAAACAACACTGAACAATCTATAAAACCACACTGACCTATCTATAAAACACCACTGACCCATCTATAAAACACCACTGACCTATCTATAAAACACCACTCACTAATCTATAAAACACCACTAAACAATCTATAAAACACCACTGACCTATCTATAAAACACCACTGAACAATCTATAAAACACCACTGACCTATCTATAAAACACCACTGAACAATCTATAAAACAACACTGACCTATCTATAAAACACCACTCACTAATCTATAAAACACCACTAAACAATCTATAAAACAACACTGACCTATCTATAAAACAACACTGATCTATCTATAAAACACCACTAAACAATCTATAAAACACCACTGACCTATCTATAAAACACCACTGACCTATATATAAAACACCACTGATCTATCTATACTAAAAGGATAAAGAAACGCAGGGTGAATTTTAAACCAGAAATTAAGTATGATATCGTGCTTCATTTAAAACGAAATATTGTATACTTACAGATAAATTAAAGCTTAAAATTTTCCAAAGTCTGTATTTTGCATCTGACATTTGGTTTAGAGGTACTAACGATTAAATTGAATGGACCCATAGGATTTTGAAATTGAAATTGAACTGAGTCATCGATATCTTGTGTGTCCGCCGTTTGCTGTGGTCACGGCCCTTATTCTTCTGGTCATAGAGTGTATGAGAGCGTTAATCCATCTTATGGGGATGTTGTCCCACTCTTCAATCAGAGCTCTGGTCAACTGCTCTCAAGTAGCAGGGGGTGGCTGGCACTTTCGAACCTGTCTACCCAAAGATGCTCGATTAGGAACAAATCAGGGCTATATGGCAGCCAATCTAGTGGTTGAATGTTGTTGTTGGCAAGAAAGACTTGGCAAATTCTTGCTACGTGTTGCCTAGCATTATCCTGCTGGAGGGTTAGGTTATGCTGCTGTAAGAAAGAGATAATATGGGGTCGGAGGATCTTATCTCTATACTTAGCCGCTGTTAAATTGCCATCAATAACAACCAATTGTGATTTTAACCCGTGTGAGATTCCTCCCCACACCATTACTGAACCGCCCCCAAACCTATCCCTCTCTACAACGCAAGCGTCCATAAAACGTCCGCCACGACGTCGGTAGACACGTTGACGGCCGTCAGATCGATAAAGACAGATTCGAGACTCGTCCGTGAAGAAAACTTGTCTCCACTGCCTCAGTGGAAACCGTTGTGGAGAATGTGCAGCGACCCAGGCCATACGACGCTGACGTCGAGCAGGGGTAAGGTAATATCAGTAAGGCGCCGATTAAGCACATGAGAGACGACGATATAGCGATCCTGACATCGTGACCTTATGCGCGGATGTCTGGACCTAGGTCGATCGGCCAATCGCCCAGTTTCCAGAAGACGTCTGACAAGACGTTCTATGGTGGAAACATTAACATCAAAGTGCCTAGCAACCTGATTTTGCAGCTGTCCTTGCATCAGCATCTAAATGGCCTGACCCTCTGAACTTCTGTGCCATTCTTAAAACGAATCAAATTCTCAATTAATTTTAGGGAAGCAGTTGGTCAGTATAAAGACTAACGAAGAGTGACTTGACCAACGCTGCATGAGACCAGAACAACACGGTGCACGAAATTCTTGTTTTTTCCTTCCTCTATTTACCAGAGCTGCGCACTGTACCGTGACTAAATTTTCGATACATGACAAGGTGTAATATGACCTAATTACTCAATCCACAAAGTTTCACTTTATTTGGAGAACATGTTTTCAAAATATCGGAATAAATATTACCCTGCGTTTCTTTATCCTTTCAGTATATAAAACACCACTGACCTATCTATAAAACACCATTGACCTATCTATAAAAAACCAGTGACCTATCTATAAAACACCACTGACCTATCTATAAAACACCACTGACCTATCTCTAAAACACCACTAAACAATCTATAAAACACCACTCACCAATCTATAAAACACCACTGACCCATCTATAAAACACCACTGACCAATCTATAAAACAACACTGATCTATCTATAAAACACCACTGACCTATCTATAAAACATCACTGACCAATCTATAAAACACCACTGAACAATCTATAAAACACCACTGACCTATCTATAAAACACCACTGACCCATCTATAAAACATCACTGACCAATCTATAAAACACCACTGAACAATCTATAAAACACCACTGACCCATCTATAAAACATCACTGACCAATCTATAAAACACCACTGACCTATCTATAAAACACCACTGACCCATCTATAAAACATCACTGACCAATCTATAAAACACCACTGAACAATCTATAAAACACCACTGACCTATCTATAAAACACCACTCACCAATCTATAAAATATTCAGTCACATGTACAAGACACTTTAAATATTGTGTACTCATTCACTTACCTGCATTGTAAGATTTTGCTGAGGACAGTTCTTTGTAACAGGTCAGACAGATTCTGATCGGTTTTGAGGATTGCTGTGGCAGGAGCCACTTCTGATTGGAGCAGGGACCACACACCACCTTCCCACACTTCCTACAATGGTGCTTTCAAGGGGAGACAACCAGGATATGATCATTCAAACAGAGATACACAAGTATGATAATTAAAACAGGTGTGCAGACAAAAAAAACCTGGCTGTCAAAAGTGACCGTAACCTCATCCTATTGCTGGTCTTCATATGAAAAAAAGATACAGAAATGTGCCAAGCTGTTGATCAGTGTGTAACCATCATAAACATATAAAAGACATTTTTGATGTCACTAACTTTATCTAGAATTGTTTGATATTCAAATTAACTTATTTTGCGCTGTCACACATATAACGTGAAACAAGGTCATTTTACAAAGTAAGAATTGAAACATGGTTGACATATTAAGTTTTGGCTAATTACATAATCATACATAGTAAATCATAACAAAACGGCGGGCTAAAATGAGGCTTCGAAAGGTCACGTGATGAAATCCGACCAAAACAGCAATGGTGATAGACACAACAGCGAGCGCCCACTAGCATTAATTTGGAGCTGATAATCTTTATCAATTTCTCTCAGAGAAAGTTATAATTTAGTGAAGAGTCTTATTTCAAGTATAACAATGCTTGCCCCAAATCAAATGCATGAGAAAAAAATAATCAAACCTAACCAGTCCCTTAAAAGAAACTGCCTTCTAGGATAATACATGATGTACACATACTGGTGACCAAAGATAATTCAGCTCTCTTTACAAAAATTGTCATAAAAACAAAGGTGTATTATTTATATGTTTGATGTCGCTAAGTTTATTGATCATTAGGATTTTTAATCTAGAGTTTTCACAACTGTCCCTTTTTGTCACTTGTTGACCACTTTTTAGATAGACCAATAAGAATATATGTTAGTGATCCTACCATCCTGTGCATCCCACCATATTGGCTTGTCTCAGAGAATCAACACTAGTTCCTCATTGACACAAATCTCAATCTGAATAGTGTTATTAACACCTAGCCAGTCACCTTTGTTAAGTTATTAATTCTTTCTTGTCTTATAGCAATGGAATGCTTGCATAAAGCTAATTTTGGATATCTTAAAAGGTTTTATTTATAGCCAAAGTCTGCCACTAGGTGGTGTCAGTAGCTCATTGGAATATTTGAACCAATCACAGAATTAGCTTTGGTAGTAAAACTACTTACAGGGGCTGTGACAATAGGCTGAAACTGTTTAGCTTCAACCATACCTTATACATACACTTGTTAGGATGTTGCTTTTTATGTCACAGCTATATATATTGCATACAATCATTATGATGGTTAGTTTGGAGAGGAACGAAAATATGAGTCAATGTTAAATAAATAAAAACAAAAAATAAGGAGAATAAAAAAGAAAAGGAGAAAAAATAATGCAAGAAAAAAAAAGAAGAATAAAATTGAATTGATATAAATTGCTTACCCTCCTGTTTATCACAGAGAACTGGTATTTATTACAATGCATACAGACAGTGGCTTCATCATCTGGTACCCACACTGGAGAATCATTGGCTGTGTCCTGAGTTATTCCCCCTGATGATTTGAACGATTAATGGTATAATACTCATGTTAATAGAACTCTTACTTGAACTTTGATACACAACATCATTATGACATTAACTCCTAGAGTGGAAAACTTCATGAATTATAAGAAAAGATGAAAAACTCTATCCTCCCCCATCCCTACTCCTCCACCGCCCAACCCCTGTATAAAGGATGTCCATTGTGTTTTTTATACTTACGTTTGAGTAGAAGATCGTTGACACATTTTTTTATATGGGACATCCATTGTGTTTTTTCTGTAGTTGTGGCTGCGTACACTACAAAAGACTTTTTTGGACTGATGATTTTCCATCCATTCCGCAAGGCTGAAACACAAACGAAACATTTAGAAAAAATAAAATGTTATCAATAGAATCAGGGCAGTTATATGTAATGTTATCATTAGTATCAGTTATATGTAATGTTATCATTAGTATCAGTTATATCTAATGTTATCATTAGTATCAGTTATATCTAATGTTATCATTAGTATCAGTTATATCTAATGTTATCATTAGTATCAGTTATATCTAATGTTATCATTAGTATCAGGTTACAGTTATATCTAATGTTATCATTAGTATCAGTTATATCTAATGTTATCATTAGTATCAGTTATATCTAATGTTATCATTAGTATCAGGACAGTTATATCTAATGTTATCATTAGTATCAGTTATATCTAATGTTAGGTCTACATAAAGCATGATGAAGTTCTGATAACAGAGACCTTGATTTAACGATCATCACAAATGAACGAACAATGTCTAAAATAACACAATTCATGAGGAATTTTTTTTAATAGAACATATTGCTGCATAAAGAGAAATACAATCGTAACTGCCATTCTTAAATCTGTCCCTGATTGTAGGACTCATCACTGTGAGCAGTGACATCATAATACATCAACATTTGGTATTACACACATGCCACATGACCTAGTAGAGATATTTCATGCATGGATTCATAATGTACCAGAAAGAAATAGCATTGAATATGGTGGCAATAAAAGGGCTGCCAAGTACAAGTACATAATGTACAGGGAGGAAATAGCATTGAATATGGTGGCAATAAAAGGGCTGCTAAGTACAAGTACATAATGTACAGGGAGGAAATAGTATTGAATATGGTGGCAATAAAAGGGCTGCCAAGTACAAGTACATAATGTACAGGGAGGAAATAGCATTGAATATGGTGGCAATAAAAGGGCTGCTAAGTACAAGTACATAATGTACAGGGAGGAAATAGTATTGAATATGGTGGCAATAAAAGGGCTGCCAAGTACAAGTACATAATGTACAGGGAGGAAATAGTATTGAATATGGTGGCAATAAAAGGGCTGCCAAGTACAAGTACATAATGTACAGGGAGGAAATAGTATTGAATATGGTGGCAATAAAAGGGCTGCCAAGTACAAGTACATAATGTACAGGGAGGAAATAGTATTGAATATGGTGGCAGTAAAAGGGCTGCCAAGTACAAGTACATAATGTACAGGGAGGAAATAGTATTGAATATGGTGGCAATAAAAGGGCTGCCAAGTACAAGTACATAATGTACAGGGCGAAAATAGTATTGAATATGGTGGCAATAAAAGGGCTGCCAAGTACAAGTACATAATGTACAGGGAGGAAATAGTATTGAATATGGTGGCAATAAAAGGGCTGCCAAGTACAAGAAAAGAGCAGGTTTTGAATTTTCTGTATTTATAAACAAGGTATCAATGACATACTGTATGATTGTATAAAGAAGTATAAATTTCATTTTGTCAGCTTGTAATCTGATTTCTTTTTGTCAATAGCGAGGTGACACACCTATGCATTACAAGGACATTGTAAGCTTTCCAATTCATATTTACAATTCTCATCTTAAAATAAAACAGCAAATCACAGTTATAATATGTATGTGTCAGGAAGATATGATGCATTATCAAGTAAATGGACAATTTCAATGCTAAAGAAATTTTCTGCACATAAACATGGAAAGACTTAACATCTTTAAGAAAGTGAAAGTCTCAGGCTATATATGTATAACTTTCTGGCAATAAGCACATGCCTGGTAATAAACCCCTAATATATATTTGTGTCCAGTTAAAATACAAGCCAAACCAACTTTATTTTTTTTTAATACCAATAAGCCAATGCCCTAAGTTTAAATGAGAAGAAAGGTGCTGGGCTTATTGTCCTCATATAATCCTACCCTCTAACTCTATATGAATAATATGTTGGGTCCCTGGGCTGATTGTCCTGTAATAATCCCACCCCCAGACTTTAACTAAATAATATGTTGGGTCCCTGGGCTGATTGTCCTGTAATAATCCCACCCCCAGACTTTAACTAAATAATATGTTGGGTCCCTGGGCTGATTGTCCTGTAACAATCCCACCCCCAGACTTTAACTAAATAATATATTGGGTCCCTGGGCTGATTGTCCTGTAATAATCCCACCCCCAGACTTTAACTAAACAATATGTTGGGTCCCTGGGCTGATTGTCCTGTAACAATCCCACCCCCAGACTTTAACTAAATAATATGTTGGGTCCCTGGGCTGATTGTCCTGTAATAATCCCATCCCCAGACTTTAACTAAATAATATGTTGGGTCCCTGGGCTGATTGTCCTGTAATAATCCCACCCCCAGACTTTAACTAAATAATATGTTGGGTCCCTGGGCTGATTGTCCTGTAACAATCCCACCCCTTTTAAAGAATGATGTTGCTAGGTACCATCATTAATTCATAAGTAGACTGGACAGGAAACAATGAAAAAGGGACATGGACAACGATAAATGTTCTCCTACAATGATAGATGTTCTCCTACAACAATAGATGTTCTCAAAAACGATATATGTTCTCCTACAACAATAGATGTTCTCTACAACAATACATGTTCTCTACAACCATAGATGTTCTCTACAACATAGATGTTCTCCTACAACAATAGATGTTCTCTACAACAATAGATGTTATCCTACAATGATATGTTGTCTACAACAATAGATGTTCTCTACAATAATAGATGTTCTCCTACAACAATAGATGTTCTCTACAATAATAGATGTTCTACAACACTAGATGTTCTCCTACAACAATATATGTTCTCTACAACAATATATTTTCTCTACAAAAATAGATGTTCTCCTACAACAATAAATGTTATCTGCAACAATAGATGTTCTCCTACAACAATATATGTTCTCTACAACAATAGATGTTCTCTACAATAATAGATGTTCTCCTACAACAATATATGTTTTCTACAACAATAGATGTTCACAATAGATGTTCTCCTACAACAATAAATGTTTTTCTACAACAATAAATGTTCTTTACAACAATAGATGTTCACAATAGATGTCCTCCTACAACAATAGATGTTTTCTACAACAATAGATGTTCTCCTACAACAATAGATGTTCTCTACAACAATAGATGTTTTCTACAACAATAGATTTTCACTACAACAATAGATGTTCTCTACATCAATAGATGTTTTCTACAACAATAGATGTTCTCCTACAACAATAGATGTTCTCTACATCAATAGATGTTTTCTACAACAATAGATGTTCTCTACAACAATAGATGTTCTACAACAATATATGTTCTCTACAACAATATATGTTCTCTACAACAATAGATGTTCTTCTACAACAATAAATGTTCTTTACAACAATAGATGTTCACAATAGATGTTCTCCTACAACAATAGATGTTCTCTACAACAATAGATGTTCTCTACAACAATAGAAGTTCTCCTACAATGATATATGTTTTCTACACCAATATATGTTCTCCTACAAAAATAAATGTTCTCCTACCATGACATATGTTTTCTACAACGATAGATGTTCTCTACAACAATAGATGTTTTCCTACAATGATAGATGTTCTCTACAACAATAGATGTTTTCCTACAATGATAGATGTTCTCTACAACAATAGATGTTTTCCTACAATGATAGATGTTCTCTACAACAATAGATGTTTTCCTACAATGATCAATGTTTTCTACAACAATATATGTTCTCTACAACAATATATGTTCTCTACAACAATATATGTTCTCTACAACAACAGATGTTCTTCTACAACAATAAATGTTCTTTACAACAATAGATGTTCACAATAGATGTTCTCCTACAACAATAGATGTTCTCTACAACAATAGATGTTCTCCTACAACAATAGATGTTCTCCTACAATGATAAATGTTCTCCTACAATGATAAATGTTCTCTACAACAATATATTTCTCTACAACAATAGATGTTCTCCTACAACAATAGATGTTCTCCTACAACAATATATGTTCTCTACAACAATAGATGTTCTCCTACAACAATATATTTCTCTACAACAATAGATGTTCTCCTACAACAATAGATGTTCTCCTACAACAATAGATGTTCTACAATGATAAATGTTCTCCTACAACAATATATGTTCTCTACAACAATATATTTCTCTACAACAATAGATGTTCTCCTACAACAATATATTTCTCTACAACAATAGATGTTCTCCTACAACAATAGATGTTCTCTACAACAATATATGTTCTCTACAACAATAGATGTTCTCCTACAACAATATATTTCTCTACAACAATAGATGCTCTCTACAACAATAGATGTTCTCCTACAACAATAAATGTTCTCTACAACAATAGATGTTCTCCTACAACAATATATTTCTCTACAACAATAAATGTTCTCCTACAACAATAGATGTTCTCCTACAACAATAGATGTTCTCCTACAATGATAAATGTTCTCTACAACAATAGATGTTCACAATAGATGTTCTCCTACAACAATAAATGTTCTCCTACAACGATAAATGTTCTTTACAACAATAGATGTTCACAATAGATGTTCTCCTACAACAATAGATGTTCTCTACAACAATAGATGTTCTCCTACCATGATATATGTTTTCTACAACAATATATATTCTCCTACATCAATAGATATTCTCCTACAATAATAGGTGTTCCCATACAACAATATATGTTCTCTACAACAATAGATGTTCTCATAACAAGTTATTCCTTCTGATAACTACCTACAAATGATGTCAATCACAATTTATGATATGAATGTAAAACTAGTAGCGATATGGGAAATTTGACAGGTTCTAAAATATATCTATGAAATCAGAAGAGCTTTTCAATACTACTTTCTCAAATACAAAATGAATTTTAATAAAAAAAAAAGAAGTGAAAAACCGCAAACATGATGAATTCAGAATGAAATTCTCAGCAAAATTATGTACTTTCAGTGGAAGATAAGGAAAACAATGCCCAGATCATTAACAACTACAGCCACGAAAGTTTAGCGATCATGTCATGGAAATAAAAGCATTCCAAAGTGACTTGAAGTTTAGCAGCCAGGGGAATGTTGAGAGTGATACAGTAGGAGAAATTTTACCAAGGTCAGCAAGGGCTAAAACAAAAGCACCATATTAAAATGTAATCACACTCGCAGTTGGTCTTCTGTTAAATAAGAATATGGAGGGGTTGATTTTTCGTAGACTTAACTGAATGTACAAAGCATAGCCCTAAACATCAGATTTCTGACAGCAAGTAAACAAATCTAAACAAGTATAGATAATGTCACCAACCAGAAAAAAAACCAAATAAAACAAAAAGAGCAGGAAAATTTATTTGACAGATCATAGTCAAAGATTGATCATTCTCGATACTCTAGAGATTAGGATCTTTTTCACTCTCTGCACCCCTGAAATAATTCTCGAGGTATCCTGATCGGTCTAGGTTGGGTTTCAAGAGGAAAAAAAATGACCAATCACAGATTAATACACTCCTTTGAAGACCAAAAATCAAAACCAGAACAAAATTTTGTTATGCAACCAACAGATTATTTTAATGTACATCAAAGGATCAAACTATCTTCTCATCTTATCTGCATGGAACAGGAAGGCAGAGAGTGATAGTGAGCATAAACCCTGGAGTATTGAGGATGTACAGTGACCAGATACCCTGGAGTATCGAGGATGAAAGGTGAACATCAACCCTGGAGTATCGAGGAAGAAAGGTGAGCATAAACCCTGGAGTATTGAGGATGAAAGGTGACCAGATACCCTGGAGTATCGAGGATGAAAAGTGACCATAAATCCTGGAGTATCGAGGATGAAAGAGATGAAAGGGTTAGGATAAACCCTGGAGTATCGAGGATGAAAATTGAGTATAAACCCTGGAGAATCGAGGTGAAAGGGTTAGCATAAACCCTGGAGTATCAAGGATGAAAAGTGAGCATAAACCCTGGAGTATCGAGGATGAAAGGTGACCATAAATCCTGGAGTATCGAGGATGAAAGAGATGAAAGGGTTAGGATAAACCCTGGAGTATCGAGGATGAAAATTGAGTATAAACCCTGGAGTATCGAGGATGAAAGGTGACCATAAACCCTGGAGTATCGAGGATGAAAGGTGACCAGATACCCTGGAGTATCGAGGATGAAAGGTGAGCATAAACCCTTGAGTATTGAGGATGAAAGGTGACCAGATACCCTGGAGTATCGAGGATGAAAGGTGAGCATAAACCCTGGAGTATTGAGGATGAAAGGTGACCAGATACCCTGGAATATTGAGGATGAAAGGTGAGCATAAACCCTGGAGTATTGAGGATGAAAGGTGACCAGATACCCTGGAGTATTGAGGATGAAAAGTGACCATAAACCCTGGAGTATCGAGGATGAAAGGTGAGCATAAACCCTGGAGTATCGAGGATGAAAGGTGACCAGATACCCTGGAGTATCGAAGATGAAAGGTGACCATAAACCCTGGAGTATCGAGGATGAAAGGTGAGCATAAACCCTGGAGTATTGAGGATGAAAGGTGACCAGATACCCTGGAGTATTGAGGATGAAAGGTGAGCATAAACCCTGGAGTATTGAGGATGAAAGGTGACCAGATACCCTGGAGTATTGAGGATGAAAGGGTTAGCCATAAACCCTGGAGTATCGAGGAAAGGGTTAGAAACCCTGGTGAGCATAAACCCTGGAGTATCGAGGATGAAAGGTGACCAGATACCCTGGAGTATTGAGGATGAAAGGTGAGCATAAACCCTGGAGTATTGAGGATGAAAGGTGACCAGATACCCTGGAGTATTGAGGATGAAAGGTGAGCATAAACCCTGGAGTATTGAGGATGAAAGGTGAGCATCAACCTTGGAGTATTGAGGATGAAAGGTGACCAGATACCCTGGAGTATTAAGGATGGAAAGTGACCATAAACCCTGGAGTATTGAGGATGAAATGTAACCATAAACCCTGGAGTATCGAGGATGAAAAGTGAGCATAAACCCTGGAGTATCGAGGATGAAAGGTGACCATAAACCCTGGAGTATGGAGGTGAAAGGGTTAGCATAAACCCTGGAATATCGAGGTGAAAGGTGATCATAAACCCTGGAGTATCGAGGATGAAAGGTGACCATAAACCCTGGAGTATGGAGGTGAAAGGGTTAGCATAAACCCTGGAATATCGAGGTGAAAGGTGATCATAAACCCTGGAGTATCGAGGATGGAAGGTGACCATAAACCCTGGAGTATGGAGGTGAAAGGGTTAGCATAAACCCTGGAGTATGGAGGTGAAAGGGTTAGCATAAACCCTGGAATATCGAGGTGAAAGGTGATCATAAACCCTGGAGTATCGAGGATGAAAGGTGAGCATAAACCCTGGAGTATCGAGGATGGAAGGTGACCATAAACCCTGGAGTATTGAGGATGAAATGTGACCATAATCCCTAGAGTATCGAGGATGAAAAGTGAGCATAAACCCTGGAGTATCGAGGATGAAAGGTGAGCATAAACCCTGGAGTATCGAGGATGAAAGGTGACCAGATACCCTGGAGTATTGAGGATGAAAGGTGAGCATAAACCCTGGAGAATCGAGGATGAAAGGTGAGCATAAACCCTGGAGAATCGAGGATGAAAGGTGAGCATAAACCCTGGAGAATCAAGTGAAAGATGAGCATAAACCCTGGAGAATCAAGGATGAAAGATGAGCATAAACCCTGGAGAATCGAGGATGAAAGATGAGCATAAACCCTGGAGAATCAAGGATGAAAGATGAGCATAAACCCTGGAGAATCGAGGATGAAAGATGAGCATAAACCCTGGAGAATCGAGGATGAAAGATGAGCATAAACCCTGGAGAATCGAGGATGAAAGGTGAGCATAAACCCTGGAGAATCGAGGATGAAAAGTGAGCATAAACCCTGGAGAATCAAGTGAAAGATGAGCATAAACCCTGGAGAATCAAGGATGAAAGATGAGCATAAACCCTGGAGAATCAGGATGAAAGATGAGCATAAACCCTGGAGAATCAAGTGAAAGATGAGCATAAACCCTGGAGAATCAAGGATGAAAGATGAGCATAAACCCTGGAGAATCGAGGATGAAAGATGAGCATAAACCCTGGGGAATTGAGGATGACGGCCATTAGCGATTGCCACTTACAGTTAGAGTAGCTTTACATTTCAAATGAGAAACTGAAATATTTTATGCTTCTTTCATAAACGTTTCCACCATTTTTGCCAACTTTTAAATTTGTGGCATCAAATGAGAAGTGAACACATCTAGGAGATCCTTACAGATTGTTGTAGATACAAGAACGGTCATCTTCATCACACAAATGGCCAGCGTGACGATGGAGGCCAACAGGGACAGCTTTTTACCAAGATATTTATATAATAAGCGTGATTATTACATTTAACCTATTGTGAATTTTTGCATTTATGAATTTTCCATTCCTTAATCAGCTACTTGCCTCAATCTTTTCCAAAATTGGAACAAAACAGGGACAGCTTTTTACCAAGATAATTAAATGATAAGCCTGACAATTTCATTTAACCTATTGTGAAATTTCCACTTATTAATTTTCCATTCCTTGATAGCAACACATACCTGCTTCCACAACTTATGGTCTTTACTTATGGGGATTTTTATGGTTGTCATAATGATCAAATTAGGGAACTATCTAGTGTGAATTTTCCATTTCTGGATAGCAATTACCCTGCATCCCTGTCCTATGGTGTTTACATGTCTATTGACATTACCAATCTGAAGAAGATATTCCTAATTATAAAGATACTTACTGATTTCATCTTCTACATTTTCTAATTTGACATCCTCTAGTGAAATGATGTGTTGCTGGTTATACTGAAAGTAGACAATGACACCACTATTTTGAATTAAAATGACCCTTTTACCTTTCAAACTCAATCTAGATTCACCTTGAGTGGGGAAAATAACATCTTTGAAGATCAACATAATTAAACGATCATGTTGAATGATTCAGAGTTCCAGAATTTACTATTGTTGAATTTTAACAAAAATAAGTTTAAATAAAGTAAAATAAGTTAATATATAAGAATGTCTCACCTTTTTTTTACTGATCAGAATATTACCATACACAAGTATATCATTGAAGAGGAAGAATTGTCTAGGTTTGGGTCGTTTGCGACACAGCTTGGTCAGAACTCCCTCTCCTACCAATACTCTGCCTGGTACTTTCAAAGGCTGTGGATAAATAAGAACATGTGTCATTATATATAAGACTTATATAGAACAACTAGATTGGTCTGTGTCATAAAATATTAATGTATGAGCTTGGAACAAATGTAGGTATACCAAGACTTAGCAGAACAACTCTTCATATGGAGAAAATGTGATGGCATATTCCGGCATTCATCCAATCTTCACTTTTTTGCCAAGGAAATTTCAGGATGTCAATGGAGCTCATTGCTGATGATGATCTGACCGCATTATGGGAAAACAGAAGTGTGTTCTAAATCCCTCCCATTGTGTTACTCCCCCTCTCCCTCCCATTGTGTTACTCCCCCTCTCCATCCCATTGTGTTACTCCCCCTCTCCATCCCATTGTGTTACTCCCCCTCTCCATCCCATTGTGTTACTCCCCCTCTCTCTCCCATTGTGTTACTTCCCCTCCCCCTCCCAATGTGTTACTTCCCCTCTCCCTCCCATTGTGTTACTCCCCCTCTCCCTCCCATTGTGTTACTCCCCCTCTCCCTCCCATTGTGTTACTTCCACTCTCCCTCCCATTGTTACTCCCCCTCTCCCTCCCATTGTGTTACTTTCTTTTTCTTTACCTCTCCCTCCCATTGTGTTACTCCCCCTCTCCATCCCATTGTGTTACTCCCCCTCTCCATCCCATTGTGTTACTCCCCCTCTCTCTCCCATTGTGTTACTTCCCCTCCCCCTCCCAATGTGTTACTTCCCCTCTCCCTCCCATTGTGTTACTCCCCCTCTCCCTCCCATTGTGTTACTCCCCCTCTCCCTCCCAATGTGTTACTTCCCCTCTCCCTCCCATTGTGTTACTCCCCCTCTCCCTCCCATTGTGTTACTCCCCCTCTCCCTCCCATTGTGTTACTTCCACTCTCCCTCCCATTGTTACTTCCCCCCTCCCTCCCATTGTGTTCCCCCCCCCCATCCTCCCTCCCATTCACATCCTCTATTCCTAATTGATGTACAGCTCTATTTGAAAGGTATACTGCACCTGTCCTGAAGCCCCAAAACACTGCTCCACAAATGCTATTCTCCGTGTATTGGACTCGCTGTTCACTGTCAACAGAAGTTAATTATTATTTTCTGCCATATCTCTTCATAAGCATAATGTCGCTTAGTCACACATGTCAATCATTAGCAATGTCTATGTATAACAGGAATGTTATTTCATTTTTCATCTAATTATATAATATTGGTCACATACATCTCAAATATTGTCTAGTAAGTAATATCCACATATCCATGGAAGCTCCTTCACAGTTTGATTCATTCACAATGTGGTGTCAAAATATGGTATGCCAGTATAAGTGAAGAGAAAATATGTATATGTAGGAATTGTTCTACTCATAGGTGTGGAACAAGGCAAAAATATCTACCTTAAAATATACCTACTTACTGATGGTGTCGGTCTTATTGATATAGGTACATACATCTGGTATTTCATATGTATACGTTTGTTGACTTTTCTTCCTCGCGACAATTACTCACACTCTCCCTCACATCAACCTAGCTAGCTTCCGTCCATATATGTAAATCCATAAATGGAGACCCATGACAGTCAGCAGCACACTGCCTCTTACTCATACTTAAACAGACTCGACAAAATACACATGTATTTGTAAAATTACAAATAAGCTGCTTCTATATTACGACAGTATCAATCAATACCACCGCTTAAAATTACTCTGAAACAAATTTGAGAACGTATTTCGCTCGAACCTACTCTATCTTATCATGGGAAAGACCTTAAAATAACGTTGTTATTTTTAAATACTCAAGTGTCACTTCTACCCACCCAGTCTGTCCACCATCTTGACAAAATGCTGCTTTTGATGTGATGCGCTAGGTTATTATTACGGTAGTGGTGATCTCCCTTCACATCTATACCGCCCTTATCTTCACCAATCGTTCTGAAATTATCGTTTATTTTAACTCAAGCTTTTTTTTTCGAAAGTTGGAGATTTCTTAATTTGCTTAACTTTACTTATTTAATGTATTTAGTCCCGGATGTACTACCCTTACTATTTATACAGTAGTGACCAGGAAGCTCAACCATAACAGATAACTACGCCAACTTAAGCGACATGAAAGTAACTTATATTTTGTCTGAAGATCAATTTCAGGAAGAAAAACAAACATTGAACCCGATCTACATTTTCTTGAGTAACTAGTCGACAAAACTAACAGGATTAAGTTGTCTTTTTTTCGAGGCAATCCGCTCACTGATTCAACCCATTTTATTTACACTGAATATGATATATACAAATTGGATCAGACAAAACTCAGTCGCCCTTCGTCTAGATTCAAACTACTAGTAAGTTCAGGGACATTTGATACAGAGAGACCATAAACTGCCGATATATATTTTGTAACTATCCGCTGTACAAGGGACTAAACTCTTCCTAACCAGTTTACAAACTGATTTACTATAAAACATTATACATAACGCCCATAACAAATCTTTTGATACAGAGAGACCATAAACTGCCGATATATATTTTGTAACTATCCGCTGTACAAGGGACTAAACTCTACCTAACCAGTTTACAAACCAGGGATGTATATATAACGTGATATATACGTCCCTGTACAAACTGATTGACTATAAAACATTATACATAACGCCCATAACAACGCCCATAACAAATCTTTTCAAAACAGAATTCAAATGCTTCACAATTTTCAAAATTGATTGTGCTAACATTTTTTAACAAATAATTTCTGTTTAACTTTTGATATTTGGAAAACAAAATGCATGTTTAAATTTAAAACTAAACAAAATACCTATATTGTATACCACTTTCTGCCCGAAATATGGAGAAAATCGTCTTTAAATTGGTGGCATTAAAAAGCTGATTGGTTCATGTAACTTTTGTTATACGTTACATTTATATATAAGTATTATTTTTGTTATATAATGAGCTTCACTTCTCACTGACCGACAAAATTACTCTGGTCAGTCCGGTCAGTTCACACTAATTACATCACAAAGCCACAGGTACATTAAATAACAGCAGTATCATAACGGCTTCACGGGTCAATGAACGAAAGCTGACGTCAGAGATGCACCACTGGACATTGTTTCTTATCCCTCTCAGTGTCTTATAAACCCCCGGTAAATTTTACAGACACTGCCTTCACCGACAACTGATCTTACCGACACTGTCTTTACCGAGCACCTGATTTTACCGACACTGTCTTCACTGACACCTGGTTTTACCGACACTGTTTTCATAGACACCTGATTTTACCGTCACTGTCTTCACCGACACCTAGTTTTACCGACACTCTTTTCACAGACACCTAGTTTTACCGACACTCTTTTCACAGACACCTGGTTTTACCGTCACTGTCTTCACCTACACCTATTTTACCGACACTGTCTTCACCGACACCTGGTTTTACCGACACTGTCTTTACCGAGCACCTGATTTTACCGACACTGTCTTCACCGACAACTGATTTTACCGTCACTGTCTTCACCGACACCTGATTTTACCGACACTGTCTTCACCTACACCTGATCTTACCGACGCTGTCTTCACCGACACCTAGTTTTACCGACACTGTCTTCACCTACACCTGATTTTACCGACACTGTCTTCACCGACACGTGATCTTACCGACACTGTCTTCACCTACACCTGATTATACCGACGCTGTCTTCACCGACAACTGATTTTACCGACACTGTCTTCACCGACACCTGATTTTACCGTCACTGTCTTCACCTACACCTGATTTTAAACACATCTGACTCTTCAGGCATTTGACTTTTAAAAACGTGAATTTACTGACACCTGACTTTACAGAAACGTAACTTTACTGATACCCGAGTTTATAAACCACTGACTTCATGAAATCTTTTAGAATTAAATATGAAAGGATTTGGAAGGAAAAATTAATAAATACCAATTAATATACCATATCGTATAGCGCACCACCGTTTCTTTCCTTCGTCTTATTTTCATCACGAAATCGATTTTCAAATGACGAAACATTGTTCTGGAAAAGAAAAAACAGAAACTTGTGTATCGTGGTGTAGGGCCGGCGAAGCAGAGAAAAATTGCAAATTTTACAGATGGTATTTAATATTCAATGATAATTAAGTTTTAGTAGGTCGATTTTCATCATATCATACACTCTGTACTGACAAAACACAATTCTGTGACAATATAGTATATATTCATTTCTTTGAATCATATCGTTGAAAACTTTTCAATCTTCGTAATATGAAAAGTTATACTTGACCTCATCGAACAAAGAAACTATGCGAAATCAGTCATCTGATGTGAACTTTCCAAATACCCTCTCGCGGTTTTCATTGTTTACATTAATAGATGCAGTCGCCTCTTTGTGGACATGAAGTAGCATGCAATTGTCCAGACTTTGTTGTGTCATTGTTGATCTCAGATAGGTTTTGTTTTATCATGCCTAGTAATTATTTGTAATTTACATTTACTATTGTCATCATCACAATTTGAGCAATTTTACAAAAAAAAACATGGTTGAAAACAAAGGGGGGGGGGGGGGGGGGGTGGCGGCCAAAGGTGGCACCCAGACCCCCTGCCTTAATTATGTATGGGAGCCCCCCCCCCCCCCTCCCATGTCAAATTGCTTCCGCCGGGCCTGTGGTGTGCCAAAGATGTCGGGATTTAAGAGGGTAACTTTTTGATGGAAATGAAAAGATTTTTGTATCAAAACATTAGAATTTTAAAAAAATGACTTCAAATGTAAAATACTGTTAACCTCAAAAACACGTATATTTTTATGGCAAATGGAAAGTTTAATTAGCACATCAACTGTGTTATTTTTGCTGTCGTTGGTTTTTAAATTTCAAGAAAATTTGTGGTCTATCACGTCTTACTCCGAGGTAGTCGTCACATGATTCAAGGTGAAGGTCGTCGTACACTTCCTGATCTTGGAGCTGAAGGAATTTGACAGAATTGCCTTTGAAATGGTGTCGTGTCCGCTTTGTGGTCCCAAACTGTCGATATGCTGCACCATCATCAGCATATGGGGTGTAGTTATGTTGGTGAGTGATTACAACTTCATAACTTTTGTTAATATATGACATAACGATGGAATGATGAACACGTCGATCGGTCTATCACAAGATCGCGGTCGCGTGGAAATGTGGACTTGTGGGTATCGAAGCTGGTATTTTATAGTTTGGTTATGGCGAGAGAACATACTTCTCAGCGTATCTATCCTTTTTAGCTAAAATCAGCAAAGCCCAGTGGTGTAAATACATTTCAAATTTTCAAAATTACAACTTTCAATTTTAAGCCGAGTGGAGTCAAACTTTTGCCCCGTCCCTCGGTCTGGCTCTGGGTCGAACATTGTTGTTCTGCCTTACTAAAGAAAGCCTTTTTTCTAAGCAAAGTATTTCCTTTGGGCTTACTTTGATATCAAGAGACTTACGTCATCACTCAATTAGTATTCTTCTGCATCCTGCAGCAGATTATATCAAGAGAATCGGGACTGGGAGCTTGCAGACGAGGTCGTTGTATGGAAATCCAGCAATGCTCAGTTCCGACGTGGCCAATACAAATTATATATACATAAGTAATAAGTAAACAATGGACGCAGGCAAAACAAATGCTTTATATCCATATCTAAAATTATATGATGATCAGGAGATGTTTCCTATAAAAATTCTAATATTCTCAGTTATTATATATAGTCAATTAAAAGCTAAAAAGCATAAACAATTCACTATTTTCAAGTTGAAATGACATTAAAAGTTTCCTCTTTATATATTGTTTCTGGGAAGGCGATCCACGGACACGGTATACATAATCCTCCATTTCATTGTTTTCTTTCTGCTTCGCTTCCTTGTATAATGCCTTCTCCGGTTCTCTTTCACAATGTGTTCAGTTGTTTCTTATCCTATTGAGGAAAGTTGGCTATGATTTCTTATTTTTCTGATATTTTTAAAGATTCCTTTCTTTGTGAATAGTTACTCCTTAAAGTTGAAATTCAGAAAATGGAAAGATTGATGTATCATAAATCACATGTAAAATTGTTACACAATGTTGTCATACAAGTCATATGACATACAACTGACATTATTTATGAAAGTTGTAATATACAGTAAAATAGATTTTTGGACACATCTAATAATCTGAAAATAGAACGGTTTAAGTTTTAAGAGGATTTTCATGTTTTTTTAAGCTTCTGAAAAGCTATTACAATTCTTCAAAACAATAAAAAAGAAACACAAACTGAATTTTCAAATTTCTTTTGCTTTATACTTAATACGACCTCCAGAATGTACTAGAACTCTCCATATGGATCACAATGAATGCCCCTCCCACACTCACTGCTGGGCAACTTTGGGTCCTTCCTGTGGCAGAACATGTGTTAACAATTGAATGCTATTCCAGCTACGAGGCCTGGTAAATTTCATGATAGTTTACCAGTATTATGATCACAATTACTTACCAGTTAGTATTATTAGACAGGAAAATATGTAACAATTGTGTTATTTAAAATATTACAACATGTTGTCATATTTATCTAAATGTCAGAACAAATATCACATTGTTTGTATAGACTTGTATTTCACAGTCCTTATGTGAAGTATGATTGTGTATTAACAGGCTATACTTGGAGCGTTCTTCCAAATTCATAGCCCAGCGCTGTTCGAGGACATCCCGAAAGATGAAGATGAATGGAAACACCAGAATTACAGCATGTCATATGTTCATGAGAAATACGAACAAACTGCCCTCAACTGTTTTATCGCCGCCGGTATCTACGTTTTCTTTTTCTTCTTTTCCTGTTGTCAGCAAAGAATGCATGCAAGAGCCAGTTATGAAATGTCCTAAGCCTGCGGTAAACAAGTTTGGAGCCATGTTGGATCATGTCTTACTACCAGTTATAATATAGAATTAAACGTCTATCATATTTATTTGTGAAACAAATTCAAACACAACATTTAGACATCCAGAAAGTTGTGAAACCGTGGAAATCACAAAACGTTTAGACATTCAGCTAAATATCAAATAGTTGAAATAAAAAAAATATTTAGACATTCAACCAATTGTGAAATGGTGGAAATCCAGATTTACAAATACATTTTATATAAGGACACGGAACATCTTGTTGTGTTTAGGAAGTAAAATTAACCTGAATCTTTCTATTGATTTAGAATCTGGTTTGTCTATACCTGGTCTTCAATTTATAATGTTACGGTTATAGTCATGATTTTGATGAACAACAATTTGATTAATGTATTGATAGAAAGAAATGCTTGATTACAATGTCGGACAATACATTCCATAATCATTGTTTCCTGTATAACCAAACCCAAGATTGTCATGATTATTATAACTACAAGTCTTTACATAGTTAATGTTATCATACATATACCAACATGGTGTTACAAATATAAGTTTGTATGTCAAACTAGTTGTACAATCTTAAGTTTGTATGTCAAACTAGTTGTACAAACTAATTATAAACTGTAGTTAACATTTTTCAGTAATGATACAAACTTTGATAGTTTACTTAATTTTTATCAAACTAGTTGTACAAATCATATGTTATGTCAAAACAGATGTCATTATAATTTGTACAAATAGATTTAGTTAATATGCCTAACAACATAAGGAAACTAAACTTGTGGAGAAATTTTGAAATCCTAGTCTGTGGTATCAGTCATTAGAGATAGATTTCTATTTGTTATACAGTGCTGTACATTTATAAACATTGCTTGATGTCTCAGTTTTACTGATCAAGGGGATGCCATGTTGTATACTGATTTTGGATACTGAGAATGTTCCATTGTAGGGATAAAGAGGGGACATTTCATTGATTACAGCACATCTGCAAGATTAAAACCAAATTAGTAATATTACAATTATCATTATATGGAAATGTGCCTGTTAGTTGATATTAAATGAGATTTTAGCTCAATTAATAGCGTTATTATTAAATTCAAAGGGAATGTTAAATGTTTCTAAAACTATCTATATTTAGAAAAAAGTTATGCCCCTTCCCAAAAAAATGAATCTACATTTATCTAAATGTAAGTTATAAAAAAATATGGCAGATTTTGGTATTAGGTAAATAGAACAAATACTTGATGAGAGAGAAACTACGAAAGTCCTAATTGTATAAAACTTATAGATGTGATTTAGAATACTGAATGTGGTTGTATCATTATATCAATATTAACCCAGACTGGTGTAGTGTATTAATTTGTAGTGGTGAATGAGAGGATGTGTGTGAAAAATTCTTTTGTTACTTCAAGATGAATTTTAATATAGTATCATGTTGCTGAAAACCAGATTACAGGGTAAGCCTTACATTGGAGTATTTTCCTGCTTTTCTACAATGTTTTAACAGATCATTCTAGTGTTAAAAGCTGTTGAGCTAAAGATAGTTATCTTAAAGTCCAGATCTGTAAGTTTTCGAAGTTATTGTCATCTCATGATCTGGCACAATTAAGTTTCTATGTATTTTTCTAAGTGGTTGTATTAACAGTAATTTGAATGTTAAATAGAAATTGAAAATAAAAGTCTTGTATTTAACTTCTTTAGGTGTTGTAGTACTATTTCCAGTTCAATAAAGCCCGAGTTAAGGAAGCTCACTTCTGGACTGATCACCTATATATCAGTTGGATTTTGTGTATATTTATAATCTGGACTGGAATCTTTGATAGTAACTAAATGTAATAGATCAAAAAGATTTTTTTGGATTAAGAATCAGAAGTGCAGTATATGAAAAGGTTTGATAAAGTCATGTATTAAATGCTGTGCATGTACAATCCATATAGATGTAATCTAGGCTCTCCCAAACCCAAATATATATGGTGAAATATGTTATTTCATAGAACGTTTCTTTTATCACTGAATGTGAGGGATATGTGGTGGTGATTTATGTTGTTATTTTGTATCTATTTAATTCTGTGATGACATTTTGATTTCATAAGGTGTCGTGATTTTGACAGATCTGTTGGAGAGGGTATGACTGTAATTTGTGTAGGTAAAGCAAGGTTGGTTAGGTACAATATTGTGATCAATCATTTGTAGATGTAATTAAATCATTTACTAGAACATGTTGACGTGTTTATCTTTGTTATTTAAAGCCCATGTACATGTAACTATGAGTCATCATTCAATATTTAATAACATTTTCATGAAAAAATCTACAATAAAATTTAGTTAAAAAGATACGAAAGATAGAAAATGTATGAAGCAAAGTTACATATTTCGTAGCTTTAGACTGAATCTTCTGAGATTGTACAAAAATACACACACAAGTGAATAGAATCTTCTGAGATTGTACAAAAATACACACAAGTGAATAGAATCTCCTGATAGAATTTAGATACAGTAGAGTCAAACCAAAAAATTATAGTCATACAACTGTTTTGCCCTTCAAGGACTCGTCAGTGGTGCAGAGGACATACACTTTAAACTTTAGCAGACGACATAGAAACATCCAAAGAGAACGAAAAAAAATTGTCAAAATCTAGATAGGAGTTTTGGCCCATTATTAACTGAGCACAAGACAGTGATGATTACGTAAGTCACAAATTCAGTTTTGAAGTGTCACTGATATTGATCCTGGTCTTTTCTACACAGAGTTACATCCCTTTGTTTTCGAACTCTTGGTATCATTACACTTTGTCAAGTATTTTTGCATAACTGAGTACATTATGAAGTATATTTATTTGATTGAATTGTGCCAAACTGTGAAAGGCCAGTGTCATTTGTTTGACAGTTATCACACCGGATAACGCCTCTCTAGGAAAAGCATGTGTAATCCAGTACAATGGTGCTATCATGTTATTAAGAAAATAACAGTAATCAAAAGTGAAGATATCACTTTGTTGAAAATTTCACCAAATGATCAAATGGTGCGATTTGGCAGGAATCGCTTTCAATCAAATCTAAATTGATAATTTGATCCTTAGAATGATGTGGCACAAAATTTTATATATTCAAAAAAATGTGTGTCTTGAATATTTACCTAAATATAATTTTTCATATTTGTCCCTGTTAGACAGATATTTGTAACAATCAAAATAGTTCATAAGATGTCAAATCTAACATCTCTTGATGATTTATTTGGTATATTTACTATGAAGTGATTGTTTACATAAATGATACAATTGTGCCATCTTATATTTCCATGAACTAGCTACTCTCTCCCTCCCTCCTACTCTCTCTTTTTCTTTCTCTCGGTCTCTCTCTCTCTCTCTTTCTCTCTCCCTCCCTCCTACTCTCTCTTTTTCTCTTTCTCTCTCTCCCTCCTACTCTCTCTTTCTTTCTCTCTCTCCCTCCTACTCTCTCTTTCTTTCTCTCTCTCCCTCTTTGTGTGTCTCTCTCTGTGATGCCCATTTCAAAGCATCCTCGATACTCCAGGGGTTACAAGCACTTCCGCTCTCTGCACCGTTTGTCAGGTTTATTGCTATACCATCTGACAGAGTGAAACGAGGGGCTGTAACTGTGGGATATCGGAATTCCCAGGGACATGGCAAAGCTGAAGGCACAAGCGAAGTAATTTGATTGGTTCCAGGAGAAAAGAATGACCAATTACCGGCTGATACGCTCTTTTTCATGATTACAAAGAAGCGAAACCCAACATTTAAAATATAACGTTATTCGACCCGAGATTCGTTTGATGTACATCAAAGTATCAAACCAGTCTTTTCGTCTTGTCCACAAGGTGCCGCACATGGAACCTTCAATTTTGTCATAACTTGTTCCGGGGATGAAGAGAGCGAGAGTGACAGTAGCCCATGGAGTATCGAGGATGCTTTCAAAGTTACAAGCATCAATCAAAACGGTCCACTGATTACGGCACAGTTCATATCTATAGCTACCGGTCCAAATGAAATTTGTTTTAACAAGAATGTAAAGAAAATATAGACTCCTATTCTCACTATCATCTTCAGCCAATCTACGTCAACTTGACTCTGTTACACGTGATTGGTATCAAGCTAAACACTTGTGTTTTTAGACAAACATGTCACCATAGGTTACCGTTCAGTTATCTCACTAACATATGTCACAAAGTTATTGGAGTCAGAGACTTGTGTGTTATATACTCTGACAGGAGCACGTAATTACTATAGTGATATGAACCGCACGGTCTTTAAGGGTTGTAGGGGACAAGGGGCATTTTAATTTCATGATTTGCAGTATGGATTACTATTTCAAAACTCGGCCAGTCTCCCTCATCCAAGATCTGGCTTGTAGTCAAAGTTAAAAAAAAAGATATTTTGCATTCGACAAGGTTTCTCCTAGTTTACTGAATTACTGCAGTATTAGAAACGGCGCTCTGGACTGGATTTCTTTTTCCTATCAAACAGAGCCTTATCTGTTGTTTAAGATGTTCCATCCATGATCAGTTGAACATCTTTGAAATTTCAGTCAATTTCACTCATTTTTGGCCCCGCGCATCAGCCCCTGAGGGTCAGTCAAAGTCAATATGTGTATCTCATCAAGTTGTCAGCTTACACTAATAAAAAAATTGTAACCAAATTTGAACTATTTCTGAAAGAAAATAAACAAATTATGCTCAAAAATGTAATTTTCCTATATAGTATATGGCAATTTTTACCCCCTCCCTAAGGGAAAATGTGAGACCCTGAGGTCAAGAAATTTACATTTTTTATAAAACACCGCAAGACACTTCCATCCATGAAGAGTACTTGATTCTATCATACCTGGATTTGAGAAGATTTTGACACTTTTTAGTCCCGCCCCTCAAGCCCCCGGTAGTTGGGGACCATATGATTTACAAGTTTGATGCGCTGTATAAGTTTTTTGTAGAATGTCATTGAAACCAGTTCAGGAGTTTTCCAAAAGAAGTTGAAAATGTTAAAAGTTTACGACGCACGTCGCCGGACAAAACGGAAACTAAAATCCACAAAACATCTTCGTGTAAATTGCAGGCAAAATGGTATCAATATATACTGAAGAGCAAAATCAGAGATATCTTTAATAATTTTATTAAGAACCATGTTTACAAAGCTTTATTAGTACGTCCAAACATATATTACAGTTGTTTTTTGTGGTATCCTCGCCAATATCGTAAAATCTAATCCTTCCGAGAACGTCAATAGCGTAACACAACAGCTTGGTGACAGACACGACACAATCTTGACAAAATACAAAAATATTTATTTTATGACACGTATCACACAACGTACAAACATCAGACCAGCAGAGCTGTAATTATTATCATTATTGTTATACGTAAAGTTGTAAAATAAACAAAACAAAGCTTTCAATAAACATCGGTCCCAGGAGTTACAATCACTTTCGCTCTACACACCCCTGGAAAATGTCATAGCAAAACTCAAAGCACAGGCATAGTCATTTTATCGGATCCTAGAGAAAAACCAAGGAGAAAAAAATTACCAATCACAGGCTGATACGCCCTTTTTTCAAGATTACAAAGAAGCGACACCCAACTTCATAGCCATTACAATATACTGTTACGTGATCTCGAGCTTCGTTTGATGTACATCAAAGGATCAAGCCAGTCTTTTTGTCCAGTCCACAAGATGTTGCACAAAGAACCTTCGATTTTGCCATGACATGTTCCAGGGGTGTAGAGAGCGAAAGTGATACCCCCAGGGGTATCGAGGATGTACATAACGAGAAATTCTTAATAAGATACACTGATTTGTTTTGTGATGTTTTAGAACATTGGAAAACACACAGAATTTACACCAGAAAGGTTAACTGGTAGCACTAAAGATTCAGTGGTACGCTGGCAGGACGTAAACATGACAGGTGGTTTGGCCAGCCGCCATCTAGTCCTATAACATCAAAATATAAAGAAATGGTAAAGAAAATAGCTTAGAATAGACTTTTAAAAACAAATAACAATAAACAAGTACACAAAGACTACAACAGTAGGCTAAATGTGTGTCTCAACATTTATATAACAAGGAATTATCATCACTTGTCATGGAAATTAAACAAACTTCTTCGGTTTGCTAAATGACTGGTTAAAAATCAAAGTAATCTAAGAACTACAAAAAAATGGGGTCATGAACATATTAATGAGCATTGGTAGAGTTCATCATCTCGGGTACTCAACAATCTACTTAAGAAAACTTTATAGTTGTCTCCCCGTGGTAAACTGTTCCACATATGAGCGTTCTCCCTGTGGTATCTCATTAGGTAAACTGTTCCACATCGGGGCGTTCTCCCTGTGGTATCTCATTAGGTAAACTGTTCCACATCTGGGCGTTCTCCCTGTGGTATCTCATTAGGTAAACTGTTCCACATCGGGGCGTTCTCCCAGTGGTATCTCATTAGGTAAACTGTTCCACATCTGGGCGTTCTCCCTATGGTATCTCATTAGGTAAACTGTTCCACATCTGGGCGTTCTCCCTGTGGTATCTCATTAGGTAAACTGTTCCACATCTGGGCGTTCTCATAGTGGTATCTCATTAGGTAAACTGTTCCACATCGGGGCGTTCTCCCAGTGGTATCTCATTAGGTAAACTGTTCCACATCTGGGCGTTCTCCCTATGGTATCTCATTAGGTAAACTGTTCCACATCTGGGCGTTCTCCCTATGGTATCTCATTAGGTAAACTGTTCCACATCGGGGCGTTCTCCCTATGGTATCTCATTAGGTAAACTGTTCCACATCGGGGCGTTCTCCCAGTGGTATCTCATTAGGTAAACTGTTCCACATCTGGGGTAAACGTTCTCCCTTCCACATCGGGGCGTTCTCCCATGGTATCTCATTAGGTAAACTGTTCCACATCTGGGCGTTCTCCCTATGGTATCTCATTAGGTAAACTGTTCCACATCTGGGCGTTCTCCCTATGGTATCTCATTAGGTAAACTGTTCCACATCTGGGCGTTCTCCGTTCCACATCTGGGCGTTCTCCCAGTGGTATCTCATTAGGTAAACTGTTCCACATCTGGGCGTTCTCCCAGTGGTATCTCATTAGGTAAACTGTTCCACATCTGGGCGTTCTTCCAGTGGTATCTCATTAGGTAAACTGTTCCACATCGGGGCGTTCTCCCAGTGGTATCTCATTAGGTAAACTGTTCCACATCTGGGCGTTCTCCCAGTGGTATCTCATTAGGTAAACTGTTCCACATCTGGGCGTTCTCCCTGTGGTATCTCATTAGGTAAACTGTTCCACATCTGGGCGTTCTCCCTATGGTATCTCATTAGGTAAACTGTTCCACATCTGGGCGTTCTCCCTATGGTATCTCATTAGGTAAACTGTTCCACATCTGGGCGTTCTCATAGTGGTATCTCATTAGGTAAACTGTTCCACATCTGGGCGTTCTCACTGTGGTATCTCATTAGGTAAACTGTTCCACATCTGGGCGTTCTCCCTGTGGTATCTCATTAGGTAAACTGTTCCACATCGGGGCGTTCTCCCTGTGGTATCTCATTAGGTAAACTGTTCCACATCTGAGCGTTCTCCCTGTGGTATCTCATTAGGTAAACTGTTCCACATCGGGGCGTTCTCCCTGTGGTATCTCATTAGGTAAACTGTTCCACATCTGGGCGTTCTCACTGTGGTATCTCATTAGGTAAACTGTTCCACATCTGGGCGTTCTCATAGTGGTATCTCATTAGGTAAACTGTTCCACATCGGGGCGTTCTCCCTGTGGTATCTCATTAGGTAAACTGTTCCACATCTGGGCGTTCTCCCAGTGGTATCTCATTAGGTAAACTGTTCCACATCTGGGCGTTCTCCCTGTGGTATCTCATTAGGTAAACTGTTCCACATCGGGGCGTTCTCCCTGTGGTATCTCATTAGGTAAACTGTTCCACATCTGGGCGTTCTCCCAGTGGTATCTCATTAGGTAAACTGTTCCACATCGGGGCGTTCTCCCTGTGGTATCTCATATGGTAAACTGTTCCACATCGAGGCGTTCTCACTGTGGTATCTCATTAGGTAAACTGTTCCACATCTGGGCGTTCTCATAGTGGTATCTCATTAGGTAAACTGTTCAAGATCTAGGCGTTCTCCCTGTGGTATCTCATTAGGTAAACTGTTCCACATCTGGGCGTTCTCACTGTGGTATCTCATTAGGTAAACTGTTCAAGATCTAGGCGTTCTCCCTGTGGTATCTCATTAGGTAAACTGTTCCACATCTGAGCGTTCTCCCTGTGGTATCTCATTAGGTAAACTGTTCCAGATCTGATCGTTGTCAGATTTACTATTGGTATCGGTACTGTATCTATCATACTGATATTACATAAAACTTGGATTTTTACTAAAAGATCTTTTGAAAAGATTAGAAAAATTGGCCATTGTCTTGAACCATTAAACGCGTAAAAAAATCAAGTAATTTCTAGTCAAAACATTCTTAACTGGAGTAGTATAATCATTTTCCATAAAGCGCAGAACTCTCTTTCTTTTTCGAATACTAAAAATGCCAGGCTAGAGGACAAAATCGAAAATTTGATAAGATAAAGGATTTGCAAATGATGAATTTGCTAAATTTTGAACTCGGTTGAATAGGGACCTTTCCACATACGTTGGATGAGTAAGAACCTTGAAGTCACTATCAATGTCTACCTCTGATAAGGTAACACTGTTCTATGGTTTAATCATCTGTTCCCCGATAGTAAATTCATTCAGATGCCCCTGTGTTTTCCTCCCAATACAGATGACCTGAAACTTTTCGAGGTTGGCCTGCATGCCATTGTTCGAGAACCGTTTAACTAAATTTTGTTTTCATCCTCCTAGAAGACAGAGTGTTGCAACGTGCGTAATTGTATGGGGAACCAGATTTTAAATCAGAGAAATGTCGTTTAAAGTTATATTCAGATAAGAGGCCCAAATATTGAACCTTGGGAGACCTCTTCCTTTAGCCACTCCCAACCGCTGACCATGGGACCGAGTCTGAATGAAGCAAATCTTTCAAGCCCGTAGGACTTATCTTAGACTGTTAATGTAGCGGTCCCGTCCATTAGTTTAACCGTTCCGCCACAGATACTAGCTATAGTTTTAAAATCCCTACAGACATGTGTACAAAAAGCCCACGAACTCAAATATTACACGTACAGTAACCCAGGAAACTGCCGTTCCGACCCAAACTGATTCTGATGTAACTGTGGATGAATTTAGATTTGTAATTTGAGAATATATCTTTCAAACGGTGTGATATCATAAATTCATTTATACATGTAGTCTTTAAAAACAGCAACAAAAATCAGCACGTGAAATTTATTCTTCTCTTTTTTTTAAAGGAAGAAGACAAATAAGTTGAAAGTGGACAATTCCAGTTTTAATAGGGAATTTCCTTTACGAAGGTTTTAAACAAGGAACATTATTTCGAACAGATTCTGAAAGCAATCGACAGTCTCGCCTTACTATTACAGGTACATGTCAAATTTCTAATTCGAATGCGCCCTCTTTTTGATTTGCCTATCGAACACGACGGACAATTTCCCAGGGAGCCAATCAAAGTCCACCTTTTTACTGAAAAGTTTCAGCATGGCGCTGTCAAGAGGTAAATTTCATTTCGCCGGTTTTAAACAACCTCATGGTGAAAATAGATAAGCAAACATGTATACATTAACAGTCCTATGTCTCTATCGGTGAAAGTTGTAGTTGTTTTTAGTTACATTTTACAGGATTTACTCTCACGGAGAAAAAATGACGCAAAACAAATATCTGGACTTTGACCCTCCAACATTTTAAGCCATTCAATAGTACAAGACGACAAGAACAATGCACAACCCTCTAGTACTGTGTTTGCGTATTCTTATGACTCGCACAATCGTAGCAAATATTTTTTTAGGGATATATGATTTCAAGAGAGGGTCCAGGGGCGAAACCCCGGTGGGGAGAGTGGGGGCTGGGGCGAAGTAAAGCAAAAACAAAAGAAAGAACAAATATATCGCTACTTACGCATACATTATTGTTATCACACTCACTCATATTCAGGTGATCACTGATATAACAAAGGTGTTTCCAAAAACCAAATTACAAAAAATTAGACTATCTACATTTCCACATGTGTGATAAAGACGTACATGGTTTTGTGTTATGGATAACACCCGAAGAAGAACCTTCTCTGGCGATAGATTTTGATTTTGTGTTTGTTCACTAATTTTAAGCTGTAAAAGGCCAGTTCTTACCCAGGTTGCTATGAACTTCCTAAGCCCATTCACCTCAATGGAAACCAAATCATTTTTCAGCTATTGGCAAGAACATCACAGTTTCTAACAAAAAAATATTGATAAATCAGAGTGTTGTATCACATAACTGACATGAATCACTTGGAAACTTGCTCAGCTTTTTAATGCTATCTATTCAAATATGGTTTTATTCATATTTAAGTCTGAAATTGGTTTACTATCTATGGTGTCATTTCAGTTGTAATTTACATAAGCATGCATTTTGTGTTATAAATATCAAAAGTTGACATGTGGATCACAATCTCTTGAACTGTTTACCTGGTATGTGTATATCAAAATGTCATAACATTAACACATTATATATTACTAAAAAATTTGAAATTCTGAAAATATATTCTGTTTTAATTTCCAGCTGTTAATGGTGTGTTTATTGTGGCTGCCAAACGGACGGCCTTTGGGACATTTGGAGGCAAGCTGAAAGGCATGTCTGCTACTGCAATGATGGAACAGGCATCTCAGGCAGCGCTGGCTGCTGGTAATGTCAACCCAGAGAATGTCAGCTCTGTTATCATTGGAAATGTCATACAGGTAAAATATCTTCAATACTTCAACAAACCGAATGTCGTATTCCTCACTTTTTTAATGATAGTATTAACAGAAAAAAAGGGTTTTTTTGCATCCCTTTAGAGAGTATTTGATGCTGAAACATGTTGCCTGCTTTACAAAATACCTCACCTCTTCTGAATTGTGAGTTTTGTCAAAGAGACATTTATGAAATAAAATAGAATTGTCTCATAGAGGTGATACATGAAATATAGGTTATTCACTCAATTTTTTTTGTGCTTTTTAATTTTGTTAATTTTACAAAAGTTAATTTAGTTTGTAACAATTTAAGACTAGAATGACAATCAATGATTATAATATAGCCTACATGTAGTCAAGTCATATTTCACAGATGCACCAAGTCTATCACATTGGTCTGAGGTTTGGATGATATTTGTATTAAGTTTGTATTGAATATTTAAAAACAGTCGTCGACAGATGCTATATACCTAGCAAGACATGTTGGTCTGAGGTCTGGTGTCCCAGAGGCTGCTCCATCCCTTTGTGTAAACAGGTTGTGTGGGTCTGGCTTCCAGGCAGTTATCAATGGAGCTCAGGTATGTAGTAATGGAACATCAAACTTTTATAGAAATATTAAACTATAGAAGTATTGAACTTATGTAGACATAGAAAACTTATTAAGAAATATTAAACATATAAAGAAATACTAAGCATATGTAGAAATATTTGACTTCAATAGAAATATTAACTTTATGTAGAAATATTAAACTTATGTAGAAATATTTAACTTCCATATAAATAGCAAACATGTATGTAGAAATATTTAACTTATATAGAAATATTATAGAAATATTAAACTTATTAAGAAATGTTAAACATATGAAGAAATATGAAGCATATGTAGAAATATTCAACTTCAATAGAAATATTAACCTTATGTAGAAATATTTAACTTGCATATAAATAGTAAACATATATGTAGAAAAATTTTACTTAGATAGAAATATTAAACTTATTAAGAAATATGATACATAGAAAGAAATATAAAACATAGAAAGAAATATTAAACATATATAGAAATATTAAACCTGCATAGAAATAGTAAACATATGTAGAAAAATTAAACTTGAATAGAAATATTTAAATCATATAGAGCTAATTAATACGAAACTTACATAGATATAGTAGACTTGTGTAGAAATCTTAAACTTGTATAGAAATATATCATTCACTTTTACAGGAGCATTTTTATATGGTACTAATATCAGTAATTTATTTTAAAAACTTATATGTCTTGAGTATTCACCTGTCCTGTCACTTTAGAATGAAATACTTCATCATGGCCATTTACTGAGGAACTATAAGTCTTCAAACAAAAAACTGTATTATCATAAAAGTAACTGTTTTTACACAGAAAAGAACCTAGTATGCAGGATGGAGAAAGTTCATCTTAACAGCTTATGATGATATTTGACTCCTTTTTTTTTAGTTCACCATCATCAGATGGTTGGCCATTCTAATCACTCTACATCTGTGGTCCATCCAGAAAAAAATTCTTGTTTTCGCTATTTCTTGAGAAGTACTGGATGGATCTCTTTCAGATTTTATATGTATATTTCCCTTTGTCCCTAGTTTGTCCCTAGTTGTACCAATTTAATTTTGGACTGATAAAAAAAACAACATGGCTGAAAGGTGGCCATCTTGGATTTTGACTTTGCAAATTTGTCTTTGCTGTTTTTTGAGAACTACAGCAAAGATCTTTCTCAAATGTCTTGTATAGGTTCCTCTTGGTCCCTTGTTGTGCCTGTTTGATTTTTGAACTGATCAGAAAATTTAAATGGTTGACAGGCAGCCATCTTGGATTTTACCTAGTAAAGTTTGTTATTCCCATTTCTTTAGAAGCACTAAATGGATCTCTCTCAAGTTTCATCTGTTGGTTCACTTTGGTCTCTAGTTGTGCCTGTTGATTTTGGGACTGATGAGAAAAAACGAAATGGCTTTCAGGTGACTGTCTTGGACTTGGCAGTTAAAGATTTAAAGATTATTATCACTATTTCTGCAAAGGAATGTTCCAATTTCCTATCATTAAGACCAAAAAATAGATGAGAAGAGAAAAGATCCAACTTTCAAAGAGCAAATAAAGATCAAAGAATGGTGGGCGCCAAGATCCTGCTGGGATCTCTTTGTTTTGTTATGTAGTCATTGCAGGATACAAACCAGAGATCATTATACAGTCTCATAGAAATAAAAAATATCAATGTGCCACCATGGTATTCAATGCTTCAGTCTCATGATTACACAGTTCTCACAGCCTTTTTTTTTTTTTTTCCAAAATTATTTATTCTTTGCCAAATAAGCAGCAAACAGAAAGATGCGTTTTGTACCTATGACAATGTTGATTTCAACAGATCAAGGTTTCATTACATAATTAGTACATTGTAGTTATTGATTAGTAGTTATCAATAATGATAGTTCTATCAGGAAGTTTTCCTTGCTGGGTTTTTTGGGGGGTTTCATTTGATCATTTCTAATATGTTACAGGAAATTATGCTCGGTGAGAGTGAAATTGTTCTTGCTGGTGGAACAGAGAGCATGAGCCAGGCACCATTTGCAGTCCGAGATATCCGCTTTGGTACTACCTTGGGAAAACCCTTGCAGGTTTGGATCCAGTACATTTCCTGTAGTGGTTTTGACTAAACTAGACAGTGTAGAACACAGAACATTGTCTCCATTATTTGACCATAAACATATGTCATTATATAAGGTAACATTTCATTTAGTTTTGATTTTGGAGTTGCTCCCCTTTGTGCTGATTCTCATATGAAGAAGTTTATATTTAATATCCTTCATCAAACAAAATATCTTTTTGTTTTCTGCTACCAGGAACTAGAGCCAATGCCATGATTTTTATTTTTTTGTAAATGTTTGTGGCGTTCCTGATACTTGGATACCTACCTGGTATACGGGGTGTTTGTGGAACCAGGAGCAAACAAAGACCGATATCAATCGCAACAAGCTTGGTGTAAGTTGTTAATCAATTTATCTATGTGGACTTCAGGCGAAACCGGTCGACGAACCAATAAATTGATTAACAACTTACCCCGAGCTTGTTGCGATTGATATCTGTCCTTTTTTTGTTTTCTGCATCCATTCATTATGATTACCAAAATATTGGTATTCACAAAATTGTCCTGGAATTATTTCAGTGATATTAGTAAGCAATGTGTTTTGTCAATGTTTTAGTTGGAAGACACATTGTGGGGTGGACTTACAGATACCTACACTAAAATGCCAATGGCTATCACAGCTGAGAACCTGGCCATGCAGTATAACATTAGCCGTGAGGATTGTGACACGTATGCCCTGCAGTCACAGACACGCTGGAAAAATGGTTAGTGTTAAAACCTTGTATATGCATCACTGAGGAGACAGCTTTATTTTTCTGACTTGACTCTAAGCACAAACTCTATCCACCCATTTTTAGAACACTTGAGACAAAGAAGCAAATGCTCTTCATGGATGGAAAGGTCTGATGGTGTTTTACCAAAACTGTGAATTTCATGACAACATAGTCTCACATTTCCCCTTGGAGATAGGGTAGTTTACTTTGGAAATTTTTATGCTAAGAGCATTTTCAATGCTCTTCAGCATGTTGCTGTCGCCCCTGGCCCTGAGTATCAGTACTTCGTTTTCATTGGTTCATAAATCGAAAGTTTACTCCTACTCCATCTGCCGGACATTACCGTAATCATTGGATTATCGCCCCTACAAGTTGCTGATCCTAGTCATTAAATGAAACAACCTTATCGACATTTTCTTCATTACTTGTACATCAAGAAAACGTTTTGTGTTGTGTATTAATGATAATCAGACATTGAAATTTGTAAATACAGTGATGAAGACTCACGTTTTATGGTGGTAAATTTTGCGAGGCGATGACAATATGGCGGCTTAACTTTCTTTCCCGCGCGATGCATTGTGGGTGTCATATATCTTTCTTTTTTTTTCTTTTTCGAAAATTTTCATCCCGTTTAATACTGTTGAAAACTTTTGAAAATACTGAAATATGTAGTTGAAAATAAGAATGAAACTAAAATAAGAATGATTTAGAGTAGCATAAAATTTTGACTGAATTGCTGCTGGACCTTGAAAGAAGACGGCGGCAGAAAGAAGATGGCGGATATTTGATGCAAGTAAGTATCACTATATATATATATAAGTTGAATTTAAAGTCAATACTTAAACTGAACTAGCAATTGCATTTTTTGCAAAATACTCATTTGAAATGAGCTATCGCATGTATTGAATTTATGCTCGACGGCGACGCGCAAGCTGGGCACTGCCGCCATGGCACTTTTTTCAAAATATTTTCAAGACTTTTCCTTTGAAGCAGTATGCATTTGAAAATTGTTATGTAAGCATTTGTTGCTTCCGTAAAGTATTTCAGTGTTTTGAAATAAATTTAATTTTGAATGATCGTGAGTGGCCCAATAGATCGGAAATTTAAACAGAAAAAAACTTATCCGTAATATTGTACTGTACTACTTACGCTACCGTGAATAAATCTAGGAATCTATCTGTGTAATATATCGATTTTACTTTAAAATATCGGTCACTGTCCGTGCTACTGTAGATATAGCTCTTTCAAATTTCTGATCGGAGATAATTTATAAGTACCCCAAGTCCAGGGTATGAAATCGTACGGGAACTCTACAGCTATGCCAATTGAAGTTTATATATATAGTTTTAGCTTAAATTTAGTTTTTGTCTTTCTGACATGATGTCTCGTTGATTCTGTTGAAGAGTGATGCATGTGAACGATTACAATATGAAGATTGGGAATAATGAAGATGTCAATTAACATCTGAATCCCGGAAAGTGTTTTAATGAAGATTAGGATAAACCTAGCAAAGTGTTAGGTCCCATTGGTACAATTCTTATTATGCCTGAACTTTTAATATATGTACTGTATTTGTTCATCTCAAAAATTTCAGTATTATGTCAACTGCGTCAACTTTCAGTTCAACACTTGATTCATCAATTTTACACAGCCCTAGGCTCAATATTTGTCATTAATTGTCGACTGTTTATAAGCATTTTAGAGTT